ACTCCGAGTCAGGCTTTCTCCCAGCGTTGTGCGCACATCTGTAGTGGGTACTTCGGAGTCCTTTTCTGTGAAACCCGACATCTGGGACTCTCCTAGGCAGCTTCTCTTTCCTGCTTTTTTCCTGATGTCTGTGTCATGCTTTCCTGCTTCTTCGCATGCCTCATAATTGTTTATTGGAAACTGGACATTTCAGATAATATTTTGTAGCAACTTTGGATTCGGGCACCCCCCCAACCCCGGCCACCAGTCTAGGGCTTGTTACTGTCGTTCCCTTGTTTGTTTAGTGGCTGGCTGGATTATTTTAGTGAAGGCTGCTCGCCTCCCAAAGTGTCCAGCTTCTGGCGTTGCTCCCAGGGGCCCAGCGTGGGGAAGCCCACAGCCCTGCTCCTCTGGGAGGAAAGCCCTCTGGCGGGGGCAGGGGCAGGGGGCCCTGCGACCCTGGCCGCAGACTCTGGAGTGGTCTCCTCACTGGCTGGGGGTTGGAGCCGTCTTGGTTCAAATACCAGTGCTTCTTGCCTTTCTTAATGGATTTGCATAGATTTTCTTGAATAGATGTTTCATTTGCTGTTTGCCCTTAGGAAGGCTTCGGGAGGCTCAAAACGGTTGTTTTTGTTTTAAATGACATCCCTCAGTTTCACCAGGAGGTCAGCGGCGTGCCTCGGGCTCCCATCCTGGTGGCTTCTCCACAACAGCCTCGTTCGAACTCCCACTGCACACGCCTGGGAGCCGCCAGGAAGGTCTTCAGCTCTGTGCGGCTAAGTGAGGGGCACCGCTCACGTCGGGGACCGCTGGTACTAATCCCTCAACAAGTTTTGTTATTTCAGAGCAATATGGTCATGGGTTGAACCGTGTCCTCCAAAAAGATGTGCTGGAGTCCTAACCCTGGTCTCTGCGAACGGGACCTTGTTTGGAAATAGGGTCTTTGCAGATGTGATTAGTTAAGAGCAGGGCATTCGGGTGGGCCCCGATCCACCGTGAGCGCGGTGCTCATCGCAAGAGAAGGCACACGGAAGAAGGTCACATGACAAGGAGCAGGGCTGGAGTGATGCGCGCACAGCCCACGGAGCGAGAGGCTCGCCAGCTCGCCGGGCCTGGAAGAGCCAGGGGAGGGTCCTCCCTACAGCCGCGCTGGGCTGTGACCTGGAGCTTCGGGAAGTGCCACAGGACATTTCTGCTGGTTTGTGGTGATCTGTCCCCGTGTCCTCAGGGAGCCAGCACGAATGCCAGGTGGTTTTTAAGGTTTTTTTATTTATTCATTTGGGCCACAGAGATACAGAGAGAGAGAGAGAGAGAGGGAGAGAGCATGAGCAGGGAGAGAGGCAGAGGGAGAGGGAGAAGCAGGCTCCCCGCCGAGCAGGGAGCCCAATGCGGGGCTCGATCCCAGGACCCTGGGATCAGGACCCGAGCCGAAGGCAGACGCTTAACCAATCTGAGCCACCCAGGCGCCCCAGCCAGGTGGTTTTTATTTCCTTTAGGACGCCACCCTCGCCCTGCCGTGCTGCCCCCATCCCCTGAACCCTGTATCCCACCCAACCCTCCCCGGACGCCCCGGCTCTGGCACCTCTGCGTCCACCACGACTTTTACTGCCGGGCCAGCCACCGCCGCGGGCGCCACATCAACTCAGCCCTCTGCCGGGGGGTCCGGAGGCCTGGCCCACAGTCCCCGTGGGGTCGTGGGGTCTCCCCTCCTGCTCCCCGCAGGCTTCCTGCACCGACTGGAAAGACGTGTTCCCGTCCCTGGGGGGTGTGGGGTGAGCCCATGGGTCCGTGGCTCCGAGGCCAAGGCCGACGTGGAGGAAAACAGGTCCAGAGGTGGGTTTGCGCACTGTTTGAGCATCCGAATGGCGGGGTCCGCCGGCAGGGCCTGAGAGCCTACTCGAGTGTGTCCCCGGGGTGAGGAGACAACTTCCGTCTTGCTCCGTGTGGTCTGATTTGGGGTTCCGTCACAGCTGCAGGAGCCCCAGGCTGTGGAGGCCACAGCAAGTGGCCGCGGCCAGTCCCGGGGACGGGGCCCTGCTTCCGAGGTGGGTGAGGATGCACGGCACCACGAAGTGGCAGGAGGCGGACGGTGTGGATGCCTCTGCCTGCTCCTGTGCCCACCTGGGTCTGGCGGAGCCCACTCAGCAAGGAAGACGCCTCACGTGGCAGCTGGACTTCTCTTGGGCTGAGCTGACACTCACGTGGCAGGTGCGGGTCTGCCCTGAGCCCCTGGGGCACCCTGGCCCCCTTCTCCTCTCCCAGCCAGCCTGGGGCAGACCGCAGGCCCCTGGCGGCCGCACACGCTTGTGCTTGGCTTAATCTCTAGAAGTTGGAGGCGTCTGTGAGCGGCAGGCGGAAGGCGCCGGGCTCTGTGGGCCTCAGCCTTCTCTGTTCCGCGTGCCCCAGGAGAGGGTCCTTGCAGGCGCTTCTGGCCGCGTCCAGAGAAAAGGCTCCCGCGAGGCTCCCAAACCACTGCCTCACGCTGGGCATCTGCCTGTCACCCACCTGGCGGGTGGGAAATAGGTAACATTTTTGGTTTCTGGCAATACTTGGGGTTTGCACCTGTGAATTCAGTGTTTTCGAATGGCAACGTTGTAACTTTTTCCTTACTTAGTTGGCTGCCTGAGTCCGCTTGAATGAGTCAGCCTGAGACAGGGAAGCTCGTCTTCTTATTTTCCTTTTTCGATTCTAAAGGACTTCCTTTTTTCTGTGCGGACCCGTTCTCGTGAGGGAGGCTCTGCAGGACCCCCTCCCCCAGGCAGAGCCCCCTCCCGCGTCCTGGCTCCGACCCCGGGAACCAGGGCGGAATCCACCCAAGACGTGGAGCCCAGCCTCCACTTGGGTTCACTCCACTCCCCAAACTATTTTTAAAGTGTTTTTGGTTCAATAAAGTTCTAAACAAGTTTTGCCAGGCACTTTTTCCATTAATTTTTAAACCAGACTGAATTTCAAGGGAAATTTAATCCATGTGCTTCTGATTCATTTACACTTAACTCATCAAGATGCTGCGTGAGAGCCATTTGATGTCCAGCGGATGGCAGGTTTTTACAAGCCCGCTTCAGCCTTTTCTTCTTAGACACAGGAAGCAGTATCCCGCCAGAGACCCTCAGCGCCATTTCACACCGCGTGCCGGCGAGCCTGGGGCTGTGGCCGTGGCCGTGGCCTCGGGCCGTGAGGGCCCCCAGGAGCGCAGGCGGTAGGTGGGCAGCGCCTGTGAGGGAGAACGGATCCTTTCCGAGCCCGGGGGCGGGGAGGGGGCTGGGCTCTGGGCGGGGGCAGCCACAGGACCCTACCCCACGGGGCCTCGGGCACTCAGGCCGCCAGAGTGCCCCTCAGGGGCTGGTTTCTAAAATCGTGGTAAAATCTTCCATTTTGGGCGTACAGCTCAGTGGCATTAAGTACATTGATGTTGTTGCTCAGTGATGCACAGAACCCCTTCCCTTTGCAAACCGACACCTCGCCCTCCCCCGAACACGAACGCCCCCACCCCGGCCCTCGACTTCTTGCTCCTCGGCCCCCCTCCGCCCCGTTACAGCGCTAATTCCTCCCTGTTGAAGGCTGACCCGTATTCCACAGCAAGTATGCCGCCCTCTGCTCACCCGCTAGGCCACGGAGGGACGGCTGCTGTGGACGTGGGGGTGCGGGTATCCCCCGGGACCCTGCCTTCGGCTCCTCCAGAGGACATGCCAGCGGTCAGGGGCTGGACCCCACCGTGCCCGTGAGGAACCGCCACGCTTTCCCGCGGCTTCGGCTGGCGCGCCGGTGGCGTCCCTGTGGGTCCTGGTCCTCATTACCCTCCTGTGGCCGCCGCCCGTTGACCGGACTTCTGTGCTTGGGGGCCTCCCTGCACGCGGCCTCGCACCCATGCCCTGGGCTCCACGGCAGCACCTTCCCACCCGTCTCCCCGGCGACCTGACCCCGAGGCCCGACCTGGCTCGCAGGGAAGCAGACAGACGTCACCTGCTTCTCTCCTATTTTCGTTCCTTCCCATTTTGTCACAGTTGGGGTGGGGGATGCCCAAGGGGGCAAGGGGGGGAGGGAGAGCTCATGAAAGCTGCGGTGAGAATCCAGCGTGCACCAGGTGGCGGGAAGAGGGCGGGGTTCGGGGTGCGAGGGTGGGCCGCGTCAGCAAGGGGACGCAGAATCAGAGGCCGCACAGCCCCCACGGCCTGACGTGACAGCCCCCCCGAGCCCCAGGTTGCCGAGTGCTGGGTGTGGGGCCACCCTCCACAGCCCCTGCTGTGCCTGTGACCCTGGTCCTCCCCTGCCCCTCCCCGCCGGCCTGCAGAGCAGGGAGCTGGGGCCTCGCGGGCTCCTGGCCTCCTTCCCACTCGGCCGGCAGCACCCACAGGACAGCCGCCTGCGCTGAAGCGGGGCCCTGGACGGTCCTTTGTCCCCGGCGCCCACGTCCCTGCCGCACAGCCGACCCTGGCCTTGCTGCCGCTCCACACGCGGGGGTGCTGGGCCGAGCCGGCAGGAGGGGGTCCCCGCACCCCCGGCGGGGGCGCTGCTAGCTGGAGGTGGCCATGGGAAGAAGCCGCGCTTCCTGTGGGCGGTGGCCCCGGTCACGGCGGCGGCAGTGGCACACCCCTCCTGCGGGCAGGCTCCCGTGGGCAGGTGGGCAGCAGAAGCGGACCCGGGCACCCGGGCTCGGGCTCTACGCCACGTGGCGTCCCAGGGCGAGCCGAGCCGGCAAGCCGGCTGGGGCGTCAGTGGGGCCAGCCCCCAATGCCCGGGTGAAGCCTTACTGCCCGCGGGTGCCCGGCCCCTGGCACACACGCTGGGCGCTTGGGGGACGGTCAGTGGAAGTGTGAGGAGCAAAGCCCAGGGAGCCACGGCGGGGACTAACCTCGGCCCGGGTCGCGATGGCCCCGGGACCTCTCAACACCCTGCCTCTCCTGGCAGGAGGATTAAGGCCGGACCGGGGCTGGGAGAGCGCCGTCGGGGTCCTGGGGAGAGGGAGCCTGGGGGCCGGAGTGGGGCCGTGAGGAAGGGGCCGACGGCTGGAGGATGCCACGGGCTGGTGGGAGGATGGGGGGTGTGGGGTCTGGAGACATGGAGGCAGCCGGGGCAGGTTCTCCTCGGGAGCTTCCGGAAGGAACTAGCCCTGCCCGCTCCTGGACTGTCACCCAGAGAAACCCATTCGGACCTCTGACCTCCGGGACAAACTGTGGTCTGGTTAAACGTGCTTTCTGCAATGGCCGCGTCCCGTTCAGACCAACCTCTGACCCCGCGGGGTGCGGGGAGAGGGGCAGGTGGTGAGCCCCTCTGCTCTGCAGTCGCCTGGCCTGCGTCTCCCCTGGGGCCGCCCCTGCCCCCCGTGGCCAGGTTTCCTGGGCAGCTGGCAATGGGACCCGGCCCCTGTGAGGCTGGCCCAGGGCTCAGGGCCCGAGGACACAGGTCGGCAGAGGGACGGGCGGGGCCTGTGGGTCTGCAGCTGGTGCGCTTGGCCCTCCAGAGCCCACGGCACCGCACCTCCGTGCCCGGGCGCGTCTGACTCCCACGGAACCAAAGGAAACCCGTCCGATCCAGGCTCGGCCATGAGAGTGGGATGGGTGTGGAAGGGGAGGGACCCTGATCCCCATGGACCTCGAGTGGATCTTCCCTTTGCTCAGAGCTCATCCCGGCAAAGGTGCTGAGTGTGCATTTATCAATAACCACTTTAATTAGGAAAACTGGTGGCCTTCTCCCTAAGAACCTACAGGCGGGTAATGCTAGCTTTCCAACTTGGGACGACAAATGGACTGTTTAGAGAAAAACAGAGAAATACTGACAATTAAAAGCACATCAGAGGGACGTTGGAGTTCGATGTGTAATTGGAAGGTAATGGTGTGAGTCCTTACGACACAAGCTAATTTTCTCGACAGAATCTGCCCTAAATGCCGGCTGCTTGGACAGGAATAGGTGCACTGGGTGACGGGGCCCGCGGGTCATTCTGCTCCATGACCGTGAGGCTGTGGGGATCTCCCAGGAGGGAGCGGGGGCCCCACCCCAGGGCTCCGCTCAGGGGACCCAGGAAAGGTAAGCTCTGCAGGGTGGCCATGTTTCAGCTCTAATTCAAGGAGAACAGTAGACATCACAGTGTCCCCTTCTGGGCAAGAACCCAAAGTTGTTTGCATGACAACAGCCTCCAGACGCTCAGTCCCGCTTGTGCCTCCGAAGCCAGGGGAGAAACCAAGTCACGGTGACAAGACAGAGAGTGTCACCCAGGACAGAAAGATGCCTGAGATTGGTCTTTCTTTCCAGGCGCCCCAGAGCCCGGCAGACACCACGCGGCGAAGATCCTGTGTGGTGCGGACAGGCATGCCCAGCGATCCGGGTTCACCCAAACCACACCGATGACGCCCGAGCGCCAACATTTCATAAACATGCAGACTTTCTACTTTCCTCAAGGACCCGCTCCCTGGAGGCAGGTGGGACGGGCACAGCCGGACCAGGGCACGCAGTCTAGTCGTGACACAAAAACCATCTCCCTGCTCGGCTGGTGGCATCTCCATACCTTCAGGTACAGAAGAGCAGGGGACACCCGGCTAACATTAGGTATTATTTAATCAATTCTGTTCAGGGATCCTAACCCTAACCCCACTGTACGGGGCTGTGTGGTGTCCCCACACATTCGTGTCTACCCAGAACCTTGGGACAGGTTGGTTTTTGGAAACAGGATCTTTGCAGATGGAATTTGCTAAGATGAGGCTGTCCTGGGCCCTCATGCCCGTGACTGGTGTTCTCATCTAGTGGGAAGATTGGACCCAGACACGCGGGGAGACCACGAGCGTGAGGACGGAGGCACGGAGTTGAGCCACGAGGCCACAAGCCCATGAAGGCCCCCAGCACCAGAGCTCGAAGCAGCAGGATGGGGGCGGCCCCGGGGCCCCCGAGGGAGCGCGGCCCTGGGCACCTTGACCTCAGACGTCTGGGCCCGGGAACCGAGCGGACAAGTCTGCTGCTTCCGGGCCTGGCCTTCTGGACAGCACTTCAGTGGCCCTGGCAGGTGGGGGCCCCCGCACTTGGGAGCCGGGGGTGCTGGCTGGGAACCCCGCTCTGGGCTCCACTGAGGGCAGGGGCTCAGAACTGCTGATGGCTCCGCTGTGTGTGGACATGGTGAGGACCCTCACCCACATTCTGGGGGCCCGTCTGCATCCACCGAACCCGGGAGCTTCTCCTGCAGGGCACTGTGTGTCCTGGTCCCCGAGGGTGCCCGGGGCACGTGCCTGCGTCCCTGATGGGTCCGGGCCTCTGTCCTCTTTGCTCAGAGGCTCTGTGCTGCTCGTTGGCCTCTGAAGGCCTAGGACCCACCACGAGCCCCGGGGTCCCCTGCAGCCCTAATGGGCCGTCCGCCTGCTTGGATAGATGGTGGACCTTGAGAGACGGGCCTGGGCCTCCTGGCTGGGGCGCTGGCTTTCGGGGGAGTGGACGCCTCACGGCCAGTGACAGCAGTCTCCTGAGAGCGTGGGAGCCGGGCACTTGCCCACCTCCAGCCGGTTGGGTCTGCAGGGGGAGGACTGGGCGGGGAGGGCCGCAGGGCTGGGCTCTCACCAGTGTCCCAGGCCCTGCCTGGCCCCTGTGACGGCCGCCCCAGGCGCCCGCGGCAGAGCTACGAGACCTGCAAGGAGGGGACGCGCGAGGACGCTGGCCGAGCTGTCTCAGCTGCGCTCCGTTCACAGCGCTGAGCCGCCGCGGGAACTCGAGTGCGTCTTCACCGTGCGAGGCCGGTGTTCCCACCTCAGTGTTTCCAGAGCTGGCGCCCGCTGGGACCGCGGGGTGACCTGGGACGCAGGGAGGGGAGCCGCAGCTGGGGGGGCGCGGGGGACCTGGAAGAGCCGAGAAACGGCCAGGCTACGAACCCCGGAAAATTCTGCAATTAGTTCTGAGTGTTTTCAGGACTCAGAAAAAAGGAGGCAAGCCCGGTTCTGGTTCTGTGGCTTCTGCTCAGCCAGCAGGTCTGAGGCCCAGCAGGAGGTTTTGTCCGTGGGGAGGGGGCCGCGAGCCTGGGCGAGCGCTCACGGGTGCCTCCTTGGGACCTGGGGACCCCTGCCCCCACCTGTCTTACTACGAAGAGGGGTCCGCGGTTCGCATTCAGGCATCATCGGCGCCGTATGTATACGATGCCTGCAGGCCAAGGTGGGAATTGTTCAGTTCTGGAATGGGGATGGTCAAGCTCTAGGCGACGTCCCTCTTCCAAGAACTGTGTCCTCTGCTGTCCCCAAGCCCAGAAAGCCCGGGACCCTGATGCCGGCCAGCAGGGCAGCACTTCTTAGCTTCCAGCACCACCTTCTGGAACCTTCTGAAATTACACCCAGTGGTACAAACAGGCGCTAAGGTTTTTCTGTTTCAGGGAGACAGAAGGATCAGAGCCGCTTCGCACTCTCTGCCGGGAGCACGCGGGATGTTCGTGAATCTCGGGAGCAGCTACAGATGCCGCCTAAGGACACAAACAGGTAGCATGCGTCCTTCCCAGCCCTTCCCAGTGGGTCACCCCACGCCAGGGACAGAGGGACCCAGAGAGCTGGAGGCCGAGTGCCTCGGTTCTGGGACGGAGCAGACATCACTGGGAGATGGGGGCGTCCGCCGTCCTTGAGGGGGAGGCTGCAGGACGGAGCCCCTCGGCCCAGGGCGTGTGTGGGAGGAAAGGGTTGTCTTGTAGCTTCTCTGAAAGCCGAGAATTATTCCAAGATGAAACCTTCCGGGAGAGAAGCTGCAGGAAAGCCCCACCACGTGGGGACACGCGGGGAGGTGACTACAGCAGGAGTCCTGCCAGGACCCCAGAGTCCGGCCTGCGCGGAGACACGGGGAGACCGGAGGCTTCGACTGTGGGGTCCTGGCTGGGGCGGGTCCTGGGATGGAGGATGCCCCAGGCCTGTCCTGCTGGCCTCCGTCTGCTCAGGCGGCCCCCCGCGCTGGGACGGAGGCAGCTGGCCGCCTCGGGGGGGTGGCACCAGGAGGAGCAAAGCCTGACCATTCCCCTGGTGGGGGTGCAACACGGTGACCCTCAGGTCCTCACCCGCACAGTTGGGGAGGTAGGTGGACCAGGTGTTTTGTGCACCTCAGATGCGGGATAATTCTAAGAAGGAGCATCTTGCCCTCCCAGGCTTTAAACTTCCGATGCCTCAGTTTCTCCACTGTCCCGCGTTGTCCAACGTTTTCAGAGGCATCAGGTGACTGTTGTTGTCTTGGGATGGGGACAAGGCCAGCCCACCTCCCAGGACTTGAGGGCCTCTTTAGAGACCTGGGTGGGGGACAGGACGTGACAGGTGTGGTCTGGCCACACCTGAGCAGCTCTCAACTCAGGGTGTCTTTCTCCCCACGAAGACCAGACCAGGGCCAGTGCCTACCTGCTTCTCTTCCACGTCCACGGAGAAATCCCGGGACAGAACCTGGCCGTCCTGGACAGAAGTCTGGGAGGAAGTAGGGCAGGCCCACGGTCAGCCCCGGGCCGTGCAGGTGACCTACCTGGTCACAGGTACTGGCTGTGGCTGCGTCTCAGGTGGGCACGGGCTGGGGCCGAGGGAGGTGAGCCCCTCCCTGGATCAGGGGGCCATGAACTCTGGAGAACAAGGTGGGCCTCTGGGGGGTTTTCTCGGACTCAGAGCCCGAGGAACGTGGTGGGGGTGGCATCTGTTTGGGGTCCAGCCCCTTGGACTGCGTTGGCAGTGTCCGGGGGGATGGGGTGACACCGAGTGAGGCAGGCAGAACTGCGGGTCTGGGGCCCCAGACCTGTGTCCCTGGATGGCAGAACCTTTCCGGGCTTCACGGTGTTGTGGGGAGCTGGGGGAGAGAAGGGTCCACCGGGCCTCCAGCCGGGCGCAAGGTGCAGGAGTTCTGGCCACCCCCCGCAGGTGGGAGTCCGTTCCTCGCTGGGGTCCGCTGCCTGAGTGCCCGAGCCCTCGCACTTCAGGAGCCGGGGAAGGAGCAGCAGGGCCCAGGGCAGGTGCTCCAGGACCATCCCACCTGGACGGGCGGGCCTCTTTGCCTGTCCCAAGCAGGAAAGGAACAGACGGCCACTCCCACAATCTGCTCTGGTTTCTTGGGGTGAGTTTACAGGCTTTGTTAACACAGCTTAGCCCTCAATATTCAGAAATATTCACTCGTCTGGCACAGGACAAAACTGTCCCTCCACCCGCCCGCCGTGGCCACCGCTGGTGCAGTCTACCTCACCAGTGGGAACCAGCGGCGGGAGGCACTTGGGGTGAAACAGACTCAGCCCTTCCGCACACCGTGGGCCCCTCTCGTGCCCGCTTGCCTGCTTAGTTTGAACTGGTCGCGGGCTGTCCTGTCGCGGTCTGGTCTGTAAAAGCGCCAGGCCCTCCAGCACCCTCCGCCCCCAGACCTTGCGCTCCCTTCCTCTTGTCCCAGTTCCCAGGCTGCCTGATGTGCTGCTTCCCCTCTGCCCAAACCCTGAGTGCTGAGTGCTGAGTGCTCCCTGCACCACAGCTGCCCTCCCCGCTCCTTCCCCAGAGGAGAGCGCTCCCCTCCGCGTCACCGTCACCGTCACCGTCACCGAGGGTGGAGCGGGACCCTCGGTCTGGCCACAGCCGCGGGGCAGGGGGGGCACCGCACACGACGCGGGAAGCACAGGCCCACGAGAGATGCGGCTACTCTACCAAACGGCTACAATGCACATCCCGCGCCCGGAGGACGGCTAACGCTAGGGTCCCACGGGCTTGGATGGCTCTCACGAACGCGCTGACAAGGCTTCGCGACCCCAGCCGTGGACCTCCCTGCCCGGGCCCTCCCTCCTCCGGAGCGCTGGTCCCTGAACTAGAACCGGGGCGGGACCGCGGGACCCTGCGCCGGGCGCGGCTGGAACGGGCTGTACCTGCGGTCACCGCTGCAAGCTTCCGTTCCTCCCGCCGTGCGGTCACTTCGCCCCGAGGACAGCTCGCTGGGCCCGAGGGTGTCTTCACCTCCCAGACGGAGTGTGGACGTGACGGGTCTTCACGTCTCGGGACTAGGGTCCGACTCTGTCCGCTTAGAGTCCAACCCGTAATCTACGGCTCATAAAAGTGGGTCTTTAAAGTCACTCTGAGGTACTCGTCCCTGAGGTTCGTGGTTTCCCGTTTTTCTGGGGTCACTTACAATTTATTATGACTGAACACACTGACCCCAAGGGGGCGGGCTTATTCAAACGGCCGACCCCCTGCTCCGGGGCGTCCCGCACGCCTCCCAGGCCGCGTGCTGGGCGGCGGCGACTTCTGTGCCCCCAGAACTCCGTGTGCCCCCGTCCGCCCGCAGGTGCGAGCGCGGCCACAGAGCCGCGGGCCGTGCCCTCAGGACAGGAGCCCGCAGCGCCACCCGCCGGCTCCCGGGCTGGAAGCAGTGACGCCTCGTGGGCGGCGGGGCCTCGGCGCACACGGCCCAGGAGCGCGAGGCAGCTCCGCGCACTGCGCGCTTTCCTTGCGGCTGACGGTTTTCCTCTCTGGGAAGATGCCGCCGGGGAGCGGGGGTGCGTGCTGCCCGAGGACGCCGCCCGCCGGCCATCGGTGGCCGGCGAGCCCCAGCGCCTGGGGGACGGGCCGCGTTCTGGGGGAGGCTGAGCTGAAGAGCGCGAACAGACCCGAATGTCCTGGTGCGGGGGGCGGGGGGCTGCAGCGCCCGCCTCAGGAAATGGGGAGAGCGCCCCCCCAGCCCCCTCAGCGACTGCTGAGACGCCCCCACGCTCCCGGGGACGGACGGGCAGCGACGTGGGCCACGACATGCAGGGAGAGCCGGGTGCTGCCGCAGTGAGGGGACCCCCTCCGCGCCCCACCGAAGGGCCCGACTGGACCAACACCACTGAGCTGCTCACAGGAAGCGGGAGGACCAAGGGCCTCCTCTCACGAGGGTCAGGCGCGCGTGCTGAGCGGCGGGAGACGCAGGGACAAGGCCGGTGGGACGCGTCGGGCGCACACGCGCTGCGGGAGTCCTAGTGTGACTTTCGCAGATACCAACTTTAGCAACAGGCTCACTTCAAAGCAATGCCCTCGACTACGTTTGCAGCGGCGGCCATGGACGCACGCGCAGAAACACCCCCTTCCCGCCAGCCTGGCTTCAGGGCGCGCCGAGAGAGGGGCTGTCCTCGTCCGGAGCCGGGGTCCCTGTGGGACGGCAGCGGGCGCGACTCGGGCTCCGGGCAGCAGCGACAGCAAACACAGACGCCCGCGTTCAGCATCTAGATTTTATTGTAGTCACGTGGAAATGGCTTTCTACATCATGACGTCAAAGAAGAGTCTGAATGTCCGGAAACTGCAGAATATTAAACTCACTTTCGTGTTAATTCTCAGAACGCCAGAGTAAGAGGAATGCTTTACAGTAATAGTGAGATAATCAGGGCTCATTTCGATAGAAACTCAAGTGGTTTGATATGAAAATTAAACTTTGAAAAACAGAAAAAGAACAGAAAGGGGGTGTGTCCTCCTGCACGGATTGGGGGCGCCCGGTGCCATCCGGACTGCCTCCGCTCTCGGGCTCCGGTCCCTCGACCTCCCTGCACCCCTGCAGGGACCACAGGCTGCTGGAGCCGGTCCCGCGGTGCGCTAGGACGTGAGCTTGGAGTAGCTGGGAGGGGACAGCTTTCGCTTCAAGTACTTCAGGACGTAGAGCGGCAGACAGCTGACCACGGTGATGGCCGACACTTTCCACACGAAGGTCACGGTTGTGATAAAGGCAACGTCTGTAGGAGACACAGGAACAGGTGTGAGAGGCGGCCCAGGCGCCCACAGGCCCTCACAGCCGGAAGCCGCAGACCTGCCGCCTCCTCACGTCACCACCAGGCGCCACAGGGACCGTCAGGCGGTCCTTACTACACCTGTCTACCAGGTGTAACGAGTTCTTTGAACACAATAAACGAGACCAAAGTATTAGAGACCGTGTGTGACATCCCCAAATGCCCTTCAGCGGGTGGAGGCCCACGCACGCACGGACTGTGGTGCTTGGTCTGGGAGGCGACACCACACACTGATCATCTGTGTGATGCGTCTCGCCGGCTGTGTTGGTGGGTGGGGCCGTCACCCGAGGGGGCCCCGCGGGCTCGTCCTTACGCTCACGTAACAAAGCTGGGCTATTTGAACTTCACGGGAAGAGGTGAGTGAAGAGCGGACCCCCAGAGCTGGTCCTACCAATGGGAGAAGCCCACTGGAGTCACGGATTTTACACACATACACGGCCAATCTGAGTGTATCCCGGCCCACGGAGGCTTGGATATGGTCTGGACTTCACCATATTTGAAACACCCTGAAAATGTTTTCCAGGGCTCAACCACTAAAGATGAAAAGGCAAACGTGCTGCAGGGAGGGGTGGACGGTGCCCTTGGGGACACTCGGAGGTCGGGCGCCTGCTCTCAGCACCCGGCGGGGAAAAGCCCACGGCAAACGCTTGCTTGCGCCACGAAGAGAGTCACCAAGGAACAGAGGGGGCTTGCTCTCATTAGCCACATGTCTCCAGCACTGTTCTGCTGAATTTCTCTACTTGTGGAAGAAAGGAGGCTTCACGGACCTAAGAAAGCTCCCGAAGACACTCCGTCTACACCTGTTTGAACACAAAACCGGAATGAAGACAACGAAGGACAGACTGAGAGAGGTATCAGGACACTGAGTGGTTAGCAGTAGAAATGGCCGCGGGAAACACATTTGTCACTGTGGTTTTAACACCTCCTGTCACTGCTTGTCTGCACACGAGTTCTTTTTTAAAGATTTTATTTATTTATTTGAGACAGAATGAGAGGGAGGAGGGTCAGAGGGAGAAGCAGGCTCCCCGCCGAGCAGGGAGCCCGACGTGGGACTCGATCCCGGGACTCCAGGATCATGACCTGAGCCGAAGGCAGTCGCTCAACCAACTGAGCCACCCAGGCGCCCCGCACACGAGTTTTTAAAGCATAACTGAACCGGCTGAAAGCGTATCATCCAACACTCCCCCCTTGAGATCCAGGTCTCAAGGTTCCAAAGGGATTTACTCTCGAAGTGCAAAACCCACGTGTGCACGGCTGCGCTCCAGACACCAGGAAGGGAGGCGTGTCTGAGCCATCTGCACCTAAAACTACGGCCCTTAAATATGAGGAAGGTGATCGTCCCCGAGTGACTGTGGTTTGTCTCTGCTTTTAATTCAGTATTCTATGTCCATTTTATGTTTGTTCATTTTAGCAGTATATTTTTCCAATTTAGTGTTTTGCTTTGTGTTCTGTAAATATTACTAGATGAAGGAACACACGTATTAAAATGACATGCCACAAAAATAAACCGACATTTCTCCTAGGCGTTAAAACTTGTGTTCATACAGGAAAATATACTAAATATTTATTCTTTGAAAAAGTCACAAGACATTATAATTTGAAAACAGCCAAATTCTTAGGTGCTGTATCTATTTTCTGTGTGTGTGAATGTTTCTTTTCTTTTCTTTTTAAGGGTGCAGGGGCAGAGGGAGAGGGAGAGAGAATCTCCAGCAGACTCCCCGCCAAGCGTGGAGCCCGGCAGGGGGCTCAATCTCACGACCCTGAGATCATGACTGAGCCAAAATCAAGAGTCGGACGCTGAACCAACTGAGCCATCCAGGTGCCCCAGTGAATGTTTCTTTTAATATAAAAACATTATCTTTTCATATTTTTTCTACCCATATATTTGCATTGAGTAGATGCTTATATGAGAATTCACCCAATGTCTACTTTTATAGTGGAATTCCGTTTACTTCTCTGCCATTTATAATATGTTAGTTGCGACAAAGGAATGAAATACACAATTCCTGCTGTTGACACTCGCCTAAGCAACTCATTTTGTGATTTGCGGTTCTGGTGTGAAGAGCAAGATGCTTTCGTGGTACAGCGGCTGGACGTTACCACCGATCTTCACCCCACATGACTTTACGGTACACTGTGTTACTGCACTTAACAGAAGCGTGAGGATCTTCTCTTCCCTCCTGGTGGAGACAGCTCATCCCAGAGACAGCTGGTGTGCGTTTGGAATGCTGCTTGTAACAGAAAATACACGTAGACTTTTTGCTTTTCAAGGGCCAATGCTTTTGCCTTAAGACGAATTTTCCAACAGCGCTAAGATGAACCGTGACATTGACATATTTACCACGGCAACGCTCTAGCTAGGTAACTGACCGGGGAGGGCCCGCCAGCATTTGAAGGTGGGCAAGTCTGGCCGCACCTCTTAGTGCAAGTCACCTAGATTCCGGGGCCCTCCCCCCGCCCTCCTCCCCAGCGCCACGAGGGACTCTGCCTTCACCTTCCCCCCGTCTGTCGCAACCCCACACGCACCAACGTCAAGACGCCTGCCTGAAGCACTCGTCCGTGTCACCGCCACACACGTGGCTCCTTCTCTGAGGGTCCGATGGGCCCTCCCCTGTCCCCCTCACCACAAAGGTCCCTACCATGGGGTCCTGCCTCTGCACAGGCAGGGTCTGGGTGAGTCGCCCCAAGGCCCCTGAGAAGCCACAGGAGTGATGCTCCCACGACAGGTCCCGGCAGGTCACAGCGGGGCGGGAGCCGCACAGGCCAGCCCGGACCCAGGCCCAGCGGCGCCCAGCACAGCTCGAGCCTCCCTGGTGCTGCCTCAGAGCAGAACCCTCGCCCAGGGCGTGACCTGCTCCAAAAGGGGCCACTGAACGTGGAGAATTTCTGGAAGCCTCCCGGCCTCCTGCAGAGGCACCCAGGACGTCCGTACCCTGAGGGACAGGGGGGCAGGGCTGAGGACATTGCTGCCGACACAAATCACCTTCTGCTCAGCCTGCGTCCTCTGACGACGCTTCTGGAAGTGGCCTTCGCAGACTGTGTCCGCACCACCTCCTCCTCTCTCTGTGGCTCGTGGGCCCTGCCGGAGGCACTCCTGCTCCCGACCCCTGGCCCCCAGCATACGCTGAGCTGACTTCTCCCCAGGGCTTTGGGGATTTGGTCTTTATCCTGAGGGCGTCTGGAGCCTCTGAGGAAGCTGGGTCTTGGTGTGGGTCCTGTCACTGTCCCTGGCAGGTGCTTCCGTCTGCAAACACACGGGCTTCAGATCTGGGTTTTTCCTGTGCATTCTCCTTCTGGGGCCCCAGAGGGCAGGCCTCCTGGACGAACCTGGAATCTCCCTTGTTTCCACCACTCCCCCCACCCAACTCTTCACCATTGTTCACCTCCTGGAGAGCTCCTTGGCTTTATTCTCCACTCCTGCTACGTAGCTCTGTTAGCATGCTTCTCCCGGAGGGTCCCTCCCACCCACGCCACTCTGGGCCCCTGGACACAGCTCGTCTGTCTTGTTCATCTGAGGTTTCGTGTCGCTCCCCCCACCCCCCCGGGTTTGCTGCTGTCCTCCCAGCTGTTGGCTCTCCGCTCACCGGGAGCCACATGTGGCTGGCGGGAACCTCTGTGGGGTGTGTCATTTCTCCTGCAGCCTCCGCCCGAGAACACGCCTGTCGGGCTCACCGACGAGCCTCGCGGCACAGCAGGCCGGGCAGCTGACGGGAACGCACTACTCAGTGAGAGAACTTAAAGGGCCTGTTTGCATGGACAGCAGTCCGACGAGCGGCTGTCTGCAGGTCATCGGGTTTCCTGGCCGCCGGGGGGCAGGCTGCAGACGCGGCTGCTGGTCCATGGGATGCGTGGACTTCAGTAGTGGAGGTCGTGGCCTCCGCACCGGTCACACAGGGGTGACAAGGGCCCGCGACTAATAGGCCTCATACAGCGAGGGCGAGCACGCGAGGTGCGTCTTTAGCTGTGACTATGGCCATTGACAATAGCTCCGGGGACACGATGCCGTTTTCCCTTTTCTGAAAATCCCCTGGGAAAGGTCACCTCAGATCAGGAAAGCAGCCCGAGCCGTGTTTATTACGTGCGGTGTGGACGGGGTGAGCGTTTCCACCCTACGGGGGCTCGGGCCAGCTCTGAGAGCCGTGGAGCACCTGATGGTGACGACCGGTAGGACGAACGTTGCCTCTGGGCTCGTCTGACCATATTCCTTCTCTTCTCGACGCCCTGACTCTAAAAACCCTAAAAAGCATCCTCTGTGGTCCCGTGGGCCACATCGATCAACTCTGGGACGGCCCAGGGACGTGACTAACAAACCCCGGATGGAAAGGCCCGGGATTGGGGGCAGGGCGCGACAAGCTGGCTCAGAGGAGGGCAGACCAGAGTCGCTGGTGGGGACGCTGAGCCAAAGCGAGTGGGCCTTCTGTGCGCAGTGAGTTCCTCCCGCGGCACGTGCTCCGAGGCGGTCAGGTGGGTCCTTCCCCAGTTTTCGGGGGAAGAAGCGTGGGCAGGTCCCGTGAGCTTGCAGAGGTGAGGGCGAGTCCGGCCCACTATCCCTCTGATCTGTGCAACAGGGTGACACAGACGAACTTGGTGGCAACCACAGCCACGGTCTGAGCGTGTCCCAGCAGCCACGTGTTGGAACAGGTTCTGGGAGGCCACTTTGTCAAGGTCACCAGGCTGGTAATGGTGGAGCTGGGATGTGCACAGCCAGGGAGCCCGCCACGGTGCCCACGACGCTTCTGACACATGAAGATGCTACTGGGGCTGAGGCCACCAACGTGGTGCCCCGTGGGCTCCGTGTCCAAAGGTGGGCCTGGACTCCATCCTGGGAGTGCTTGTCAATTAGGAAAAAGGACAAAAATGGAGCTCTTGTGGAAAGAATTTTTGGGAACAGCACATCTTCAATATAAACGTTTAAAAAGCCAAGATGGTGACAATCTGAATTTTATAAAATATTGCGAGGAGTTTAATCTTTAAGCATAAAGCCAGAAACCTAGCAAATGTTCAGTATTTCAATGTTCAGTATTTCCCAAGTGCATTTCTCTGACCAGATACCAGCAGGGTCAGTGCCCCTGACCCCACAGTATTCAAGGGTCAGCCACACATGACCATGATTTTTTTTTTTTTAATTTCAATAAATACGGTACCGTAAGACCATCGTCTTACCTTGGTAAATACTGATCAAAAATAAGCTTTTTGTGTAGTGAAGCTCCCTGATGTGGGTTTTATTGTGATTTGCAATTTAAGACAGTGTATGAAGAAGTAACAATAAAAAACGTATAAAAACCAGTAACAGACAAAAAAGATTCCCATGGCAACTTACCAAAATACTCATTTAGAAAAGCGAGCGAGGCCACGTAGCAGCCCAGGCTGAGGACTTCGGCCACCGCCATCAGCCAGTGCCACGTCCTGACGGTCAGGGCCACCATGAGCAGCTCGGTGAGGATGAGGGCCGTGAAGGAAATGGCCACCACGTGCACAAACTCGGACTCGAACAGGAGCAGAGCCCCGAACATGAGGATGCCGCCTGCAACACAAGCAAGGGGACAGCAAACAGCTCCTTCTGCCTGGGCGGGAAACGGCTGCCACACCGGCCACAGCCACGCCACCTCACGGCCGTGGCTGACGACACGCACACTTGGAAAGACGGGATTACGTACACCCCCACGCTTCGTGTCGCCGGACAGTTAATTTAAACTCTCGACGGTGAATAAAAGAAGACGTGGCACCACAGAGAGGCTTAGGAACTCTTAGTATCTGGAGGAAACGATGCTTTCGATGTATCTAATCTGTGAAGTCACTTTCAGCGCTCTCTCATTTATCTGGAGCACTCATCAGAGTGGCTAATGACTTCTATTTACGTAAGTGAGATTTCTCAAGGTCTGGACATCACTCTGCCAGAGGAAACCACTCTGTGGGGCATACGATGTGGTAGGTGGTTGGTAAAATTTTTCTGAATTAACATTCAATTAAAAACATGCACCAGTAAAGAACCACCCATCCACACTGCACTGTGAAGGGTCCGGATGACCAGCCACTAGAATATTGGTTTACGGGGTAAACAAAACGCAGTATTAGCTGCTGATGAAACTTGAAGCCTTTGGACTTTAACCAAGAGGGGAAAACAACATCGCTAGCAGAAGACAAAAAGCCCTCCGTCCAGGCCCGTCTTACCTTGGTAAACACTGATCAACACCCAGACGAGGAAGGTCTTGAAGGACAAGGATCTTCCCTAGGGTAAACAGTGGAATATCTTAGTGAGCAGAGTGGAGCAACACGTGTGACTCACAGGTTTTCCAACAGCTAGTTATGAGTGACTTCTCAAAGACCCGCAGGTCCCAAGCCCAAGACTCGCCGTCCCCCCTGTGCCCAGCGCCGGCACTCTGCTTGCCCTCTGGTGACCTTTAGGCCACAGCCGTGGGCTCCCTGGCTCCCCAGACGTCGATGTATGTCAGCAAACGCTGAAATGCGCTAGTGGGTGAAGGCTTTCTCTGTCATAAAAACAACTCCCTTTACTTATTTCTTGGGAACAAATATTCCTGTATTTACTTTTTAGTTTCTCCAGATGAAAAAGGATGGTCTATCACAACAGAGGTTGGAGTTTACCAGCCCGTAGGTCCCTTCTGGAAAAAAGGCCACGTCAGTCAGTCCAAGAGGGACAAACAGAGTGGTTTTCGGGTAACAGTCTTCACTTTTTTCAACTCTGACCAGGTTGTCTGGGATGCGTCCATGATGGAAGAACGTGGCCTGCGTTCCCTCCACACCCAAGACGGAGACCCGCCATTCACCAACCGCACTGGCCTGTTAGTGCTCAGGGCTGGTCCACGGCAGTGCTTGTCCGCTGAGGCCATGGGGACGATGCAAGGCTAGGACAAAGGCCCTGGGGACTGCTGCCAGACCCACGTGGTCACCCCCCCGAGTCAATCCTCTCACGGCAGCGTAGCGTCTCCGTTCGACAGGGCAGACATGAAGCAGCGCGAAAAGTTCGGTGCTTCCCACAAGTCCACGCTGCAGGTTGGCTGCACTAAGCAGTGTATAGTTGACCCTTGACTTGGGTTTGAATTGCCTGGGTCCACTAACATGTGGATTTTTTTTTTTTAATTTCAATAAATACGGTACCGTAAATGTATTTGCTTTTCCTTGTAATTTCCTTAACTTTTTTCCTCCAGCCTACTTTATGGTAAGAATACAACATACAACACATGTAACGGAATCAGATGTTCATCAGGGTGGGTGAGGCTTCCAGTCACCAGGAGGCCGTTAGTCCTTGAGTGTTTGGGGAGTCAAAAGTGATATGTTTGTGCAGGGGGTCAGTGCCCCACAGTATTCAAGGGTCAGCCACACATGACCAGAGTTCGAAGCTCTGCCAAATGCCACCAACGAAGAACGAGCCGTTATGGAAGAGAAGCCCGGGGGCGTGTTGCCGGGTGACAGCCAGAGTATTCTAGATCTGAGCCGCGCCCACCTAGAGTCAAGTGACCACCTTTCCAAAGAGACGCACGTCGCAAGGCAGGTGTGGCCGCTCCAGCATCTTCCTGGGAAGTATTTCCCAGGCTGAGCCTGAGTCCTTACAACACGTGTGAAAAGGAAGGTTCGGATGGAACAGAGGTCACTAGAAGGCAATGCTGATTTTAAAAAAGGCAGGAAACTTCAGGTGCAACACGTGTATATCTCAGTATGTATTTCCCAAGTGCATTTCTCTGGCCAGATACCAGCAGGTGTTTGGTCTTTGATAAAACTCATGTAATTAAATATGTGGCTAGTTTAATTTGAATATTTTAAAAGAGAACTTAAATTTTTTGATGTAAACATAAAAGATTTCTTCTGTAGCTAAACTTGCTGACATCTCTTAACTATTATTCATGTGATACAACTCTCAGTTTATATAGTGAAAGATACAAACGGGGGGCTGTTTGTGCCATTTCTTGCATCAGGAGCTGCAAACTCCTCACACAGTGTTTGACTCAGGTCAAAGCTCTGTATTCAAGCAGACCGTAGATTAATACGGCGAAACACTACAGAATGGGCACGAAAACGGTCAATAAAGTAACTGGAGAAATAACAGAAAAATACGCATAAACCACTAGCTCCTGGATGTGATACTAACCAATGGCTCCCAGACTTCAGCTCAGAGAGACAGAAGCGAGAGTCTCATTGTATTTGGTGGCACAAATACGCATGAACACAGTTCACTTACGGCAGACTCAGGCCACATGTGCAGGGGCTCTCCTGGGCCCACACGCCTCTCCTTCCATGTGAGGAGAGGAAGAACGGCCCGTCTCTGGCTGATGGGAACTCCTCTAGCGGAGCTCTGTCCAGGCACCGTGCAGACACTGCTCAGGACCCGGCCGACCTGGGTTTGAGTCCTGCCCGTGGCACCCCAGGGCACACACTCAGCCTCTGTGAGTGGTCTCGTCTTCCGTGAATAGAAATAACAGTACGTACTCATGTGGATAAAATAAGCATAAAGCCAGAAACCTAGCAAATGTTCGGTATTTCAATGTTAGATCTTAGAGACCGGAAAGTACATTCCTATTACATATCAATCAAACTGTAAAAATTAAATCAAGCAAATCTTGGGAAAGGTTACTCCACCCGAAGGTCATGCGAACACTCACTAATCCGTCCTGGTTTGGGATGCGTGGAGGACAAGCGGCCGCGTGTGGGCACAGCTGCCTCCCTCAGCCCCTCCGTCCCCGACCCCAACCCCGGGCCGCCGCCCTCCTGTCCTCTGGGCCCCAAGCTCCGCATTTCCCAGGGTGCCCGGCAAACATGATCATACGAGCTTCTGAGTCTGGCTTCTTTTGTGCAGCAGAATGCTTTTAAGATTCACCCACGGTGCTGGACACGGCACGGTATGGCTGCAGTTACTGGCGGAACATCTGTCTACAGGATTCCGTGTAAACACGTTTTCACTTCTCTCGGGGAAATGCTGGGTCACGTGCTCAGTGCATGTTTAACTTCACCAGAAACTGCCAAACCGTGCCCCGGGGTGGCCATGCCGTGCTGTGTGCCCGTCAGCGGTGCCGTCCCCGCGTGAGGAATGGTGGTGCGCAGAGTGTCTCCAGACGCTCACTGGCCACGTGCACGTTGTGATCCATGCTATGCTGTCAGTTCAGGCTTTTTCCCGTTTCAACAACTGTTTGTCTTCTTCCTGAGTTTTGAGGGATCTTTATATTTTCCAGATACAAGTCCTTTGTCAGAAGTGTGATCTGCAAATATTTCCTATGAGTCTGTAGCTTGTCTTTTCATTTTCTTAGCAGTGCCACCCACAGAACAAAAGTCTTGAATTATGATAAAGTGCAACCTACAATTTTCCCCTTTCTGAATCATGCATCTGACCCCGTATCTAAAAGCTAGACCTGCCCCAAGGTCATGCACATGTTCTTCTACATTTTACTCCAGAAGGCGAATAGTTCTACATTTTACATTTAGGTCTATGACTCATTTTGAGTGAGCTTCCCCAAAACTGTTGACGGTGGAGGCTCCATTTTTGTGGGTGGCTCTGGCAGCATCTGCTGAAAAGGTCGTCCCTCTCCTTTGGGTTTCCCTTCACGCTTGTCAAGGAAAGATCAGCTGTGACGCCCGTGGCTCTTCCCCGGGCTCTCTGTCGACCCCACTGGTCTGCGTGTCTGTCCTCCACCAAGAATCTGTTGTCTTGGTCACTACTGCACAGAATATCTTGAAATCAGGTAGAGCGAGTCTTCCAAACTTGTTCCTCTTTTTAAAAATGGTCTTGCTAACTCTAGCTCTCCTATGTTTCCATGTAAATTCTGGGTCAGTTTGTCAGCTTTCGGACACACCGAGTCTTCTTTTGCACTTTCCAAAATCCCTCTGGACGATGTCCCGCCGCACACACGTCCTGCACACAGTTAGTTACACCAACTTCGCTTTTTTTAGGTTATTGCAAAACACTGTTCAGAAACATTTTTCAGACCTCAGTTGTTCATTGCTAGTATATAGAATCAGAAAGGATAGAAAGTATTTTTTCCTTGAATCCTGCAACCTTACTAAACTTACTAGTCTAGAAGGGTTTTGTGCACTCTTTGGGCTTTTCCACATAGATGATTATGTCATCTGCAAACAGGTCCTCCCCTAATTTCTGTCTTTCATTTCTTATCACTATTATTTCTAAAATTATATAAGAATACAAATGTACATTTCAAAGCTAAAACCACTTTGTGGAAATACAACAGGAAATAAAAAAGTAGTGAAGCAACCCTAACAGTTGTGTGTCTGCAGGACACGACCTCCTCGCTTATCGCGACAATTAGTTCAGCTTCCACCCAAACCCTCCACAGTTAGTAGGTTACTTATCGTGAATATAAAACGACATGTTGGCCACGGAATCCACAGCTGCAAGTCTGAGATACCTTAGGACCATGTGGGCTGGGTCAGGCTCGCACAGCCTTCCCTAAGAGGCCACCGACCGTCTGGGGTAAACAGAGTCCCCTGCGGAGCTGGGAGGGGGGTGGGCACATAGGGTCCCTGTGTCACTGGCAATACCAGGAAATTGCAAGTGGCTCCTCCTCCTGAGTGAAGTGTGAGCATTCAAAGCAGAATCTGACCTTTAAAATTAAGAGGAATACCAAAAACTGTTCTGGACGCATCATTTTCTGCAAGGAATGAAAATGATGTGGCGTTAGGAAGGGGAGGGGAGGGGAACGCTGCTTCTTTGCTGGACTCCCTTACCTGCTCGCGGACTACTGAACAGATTCTGACTCCAGGCTGGGCTCAGGCTCTCCAGATAGAGCCGTGAGCAAACGTTTATATTCTGGAATGGCTGATCCTGGTGGAGCATGTGAGTCAGAGCTGTAACGCCTGGGTTCTGGCTCACACTCTCAGAATAAAAAGACAGCCTATTGAGTAAGCATGAAAATGGTATTTTCTTTCAAAGCATGCTACTTTCCTCTCTGTTTTGCAAAGGATATGTACTCTGCCTCCCCTCATTACCTTTGAAAGTATTTTAGAAATTTCTTGTGACCCTGGCCTTCTGCTCAGAACAGGCTGGATGCGTCATGCAGCAGACGAGCCCCTGCAGCCCCTCCGGCGGCCTGTTTTGACTATCATGTAATTCGCCCTGAATTTACGTTTTCTTTCCAGACTGAACGTGGGCTTCCTGAGCCAGGAGTGACGTCCCGCCCAGGCCTCCAGCACCCACAAACCTAGCGCCTGCCACACGGACGGGCTTCCCAAGTCACCCGCCAAGCGTTCAGAAGTAACGCAGCTTCAGAATCTCTCTCTGGCTTCGGTAAGAAAATACAATTCAACTTTTATCAACTTAGGTGGTTGAGTACTTTAGTGCTAACTTTGTCTTCAAGGACTTGAAGTGCATCAGATTTTGGAAGAAATATAGACACTATAAACACAAAAGGAATAGATTTTGGATCTTGAAGAAAAGGAGCCTCAAGATCACAAGTAACTGAACTCCTGTCACAATAATGTAGGAATGACGTCCTGACTCGAGGATACGGAGATACTCTAAACCGGTCGCCTTCACAAAGCCGAGAGCCAACTCCGTCAGAACTGAACACAGTTTCCTGACATACTCTCGTGTTTAGTGTGCCAGCTAATGGGGGCGTTTGCGGATTCGCGGCTACCTGACCCTGCAGACATATTCTTGTTCCCACAGTCGGAATCCTGATCAACAGTGACAGTGGGTGGAGACGGCGTTCACCATCTGGCGATGTCGCCCGGGCTGACCCGCAGTGACCGCGACTGGCTAAGACACCGACCGCCTACGATTTTAGGGAGCTCATCTAGTTTTGTTCATACATGAAGGGCGTGTTTCCCCCTTACGTCTGTGAGGCAGCTTTAAGTAAACATTTCTGGAGTTTATGGAAATAAGGAAACACATAATCTACTAAAATTGTAATTCCTCACAAAAGCTTCCTGTAGTTTTTGGATCTTTGATCCTGTTCGGCTTTACTGAATGGTAACAGTCTCACCATTTTAAAATATTAAACCAAAAAGTTTTCCTTTTATTTATAATATTCACAATAATATTATCATCAGGATACTAATCCTTGAGATATATATATATATAATCTTATATTTGCATTTTATTATCAAATTAAATGTTATCAAATATGATTGTTATTTTATTTTACACTCTATTGGTGAACTACCTTTATTTTTGTCCTGATTGTAAAAGTAACATGAGCACTTTGTATTTTTCCCAAGGAACTTGAAGTCTCAATTTTCTCCGGCCCTTATGCCACCACCATGAAGCCCGAAGATCAACGTGGCCTGGACAGCTCCTCTCTGAGCGGTTGGCGGTTCGCTGAGTCTATGCTTAACGCCAACTGATTCTTTCTCCATACTGCCAGAGTTTTAAAGATCTGAGTTGGTAATTTCAGGTTATCAATTGTAAAACTGGATTTGACTGGGGTTAGTGGATTTGGTTCTCAGTGTTGCTTCAGGAAAATTCCAAAGCCACTACAACTTGTACTTGGAGAGCTGGGGGTGTCTCAGCCCGAGGAGCTTGTTTTTCATGCTAGGGAAACATGGTCTCGTAAAGAAATTCGACAAACTTGAAGCTTCCTTCAGGAATACCCCATCTGAACATAGTTTTGGGCCAGATAAATGAATCTTCTGCAGTTTCAGGGGGCAGACTTTCCCCAGCAGCATCCCTGCGACCTCAGCCCTGGGTCACAGTGACAGGCCCTCTGTCCCTCTTTTCTCAGACGTGATTCTGAATGCACAGCGGAGGGAGGCTTGGGCAGGCACAGGGACTCGCAGCCAGTGAGTCTGAGTTCGAAGCGCCAGGATGCCGCCGCAGGTGGACAGAAGTCTGTCCTGCCCCAGGGCCCCACAGTCAGCGAGTGTCCTTCACACAGAAATGGGCACCGAGCACGCGTCAGCCATAGGGTGAGGCCAGTCACCACGGGCCCACAAATGGTTCAGAGCACCTTTAAAATTTTAATTGTAAGCATGACATCAGAGCTTTATGCAAACATTCGGAAAAACATGTGTTTTCCCTTTTTGAAGTTTAACTCAAAAGGAAAATGTCAGCACTAACTAGAAGTAAAACCCGTCTGGAAGCTGCTTCACGACTGGCACCTTTTCTCGCAGTAAATACTCTGCTAGGATACCAGCAGCAGCCCAGCGCCCATACCTTGGTGAGGTCCTTGTACAGCTCTGGGTAGAGCATGGCCATCTCCGGCTTCACGTCCTGGTCCAGCACTAGCGAGAACACTGGGAACATGGTGTACAGAGTCGCATACCTTACAACCAAGAGGGAGGCAGATTAGCGGGAGGGGCGTGCGCCACGGTCAACACCTCTGCAATCAGAGGCCACAGTTTCAAAGACTCAGCAGCAAATTCAGGTATGATTTTTCCTAAAACTCAATACTTGCCCTGCAGTATAATAACTTGGTCTGTGAGCCATAAATGCTCACAGGAATCCATTTTTCTTTCTTAATTAAACTTTTTATTTGGAGGTCACTGTAGACCCACAGGCAGGTGTAGGAAGTAAGAGAGATCCCGTGTGCCCTCGCCCTGGTTTGCCCGCGGTAGCATCTTGCAAACCCGCAGCCCAGTCTCACTGCCAGGGTGTCGGGGACACAGAACCGCCACCACCCCCGGGGCCCCCCGCTGCCCACCTCCCTCCCCCCCTCTCGTAACCCCCCTGGCGAGGCTACACGCGTGCCTTTCCCCAGCCTGCCTCCCGGGAGGCTGTTCCAGGTGTTGCTGCGGCCGCGCTCACCCCCGTGGGCTGCCAGTCAGCACTTGCAGTTGGGGGTGGGCCCGCCTCTGTAACCCGCTCGCTGAAACAAATGACACAGCCATGAACACTCGTCACACGGATCGTTCTGTGAGACCTTCCATTTATTCTAACAGGAGTGTCACCTGGGGTCATCAGCCCAAGAGGCTAGTTGTGGGGACACAGGGGCTGTGCCGCCTGGCCTGGCTGGGCGCGTGCGGGGGGGCCCTGCTTCTCTGCATCCCCTCCCCACGTCCCCGATGGCTACTGACAGGGACCATCTTTGCGTGAGCTCACATGCCATCGACATCCTCCGGGGTGAAATGTCTGCTCGTGCCTCCTGCCCGTTTGCTAACTGGAGGCTCTCTTCCTGTTGGACCTTGAAAGTTCTCGGATGTGTGGTGTGTGCCCGTCATTCCTGAAGGAAGAGCTCGCTGCAGGCGGCCGTCTGTGCCCACACCGCTCCCTCCCGCCTGGTTCTGGGGCTGCTCTTCCCCCAGCTTGCCACCTTCACGCCGTGTGTCCTCTGTCTTCCTGAGTCTCCATGTTGCATGTCTTGGTGTGGATGTCTCTGAATTCACCTATTTGGGAAGTTTTCAGCCATTCTTCCTCCTCTAGCCCAGCACCCCCGTCCTCCCTCTGGAGCCCCTGAGGCTCTGCTGGTCTCCAGGCTCTCGTGGTGCTCACAGGACCGCCGTCCCGTGTCCTGTCCTCAGTGGGCCCTCTGCCCCGCTGTGGGTCAGGTCCGTGTCACGGTGGGCTTGGTGGTCAGTTTCCATTTGGTTCTACTTTTTATTTCTAAGTGGACACGTTTCATCTTTGTCCCGCGCGTTCCTGCTGCTCATTAAAGTACATCCACGTGGCGGCTTTAACACCGTGTCGCACAATTCCAACCCCAACGGCGCCTCGGGGCTGGCGTGTATTGTCTTCTTGGCGAACTCTGACACCTTCCTGGTTCTGGGCGTGGCGAGTGATTCTCTACTGAAACTTGACATCTGGGTGCCGCTGGGACGCTGGGTCTCCAGGCACTGCTCTGGGGGGAGGGGGCGCTGCTGCCGTACCCCAGGTTCCTCCCCGTGCAACACCGACGAGGGCGCTCCTTGCTGCTGGGTGTGTGGGGGGGTCCCGGCTCCCCACTTGGCAGGGAGGTGGGGCGGTGTTTCCATGGCGTTGGCTGGAGCAGAGTGGTTGCTGTCTGAACGCTGTGTGTCCGGCTGGCCAGGGCACACATGTGTTCCACCTGGCGGGCCAGGGCACGCGCATGTCCCACCCGGCGGGCCAGGGTACCAGCGGGCCAGGGCACACGCGTGTCCCATCTGGGACATCCGCAGGAGTTTGGCTGTGCTCAGCAGAGGGAATGAGGAAAAGTGCATCTACGCTGTCTTTCCTGAAATAGGACTGGATTTCTTTTAAATGACATTTTCACCTGTGAGAAAGCTTTGGCGTCGGGAAGGTACCCAGGGGCGGAGAACCAGGTGGGAAGCTCTATGTGTGAGCAGCGGTCTCCTCAGATGGGCTTCCACGGTCACTGGTGCAGGCGGTGCTGCCCCGTCCAGGGCTGCGGGTCACGAAGGGCACACTGTGTCAGGGAGGGCATTTCAGCCTGTGTGCCCGTGGAAGCTCCCGGGGAGGAAATCCATGTGCTTTCAGAGTGGTCGGTCCTGCATGAGGTTAAACAGGCTTACGGCCCAAATTTCCCTCCAAAAATTTTTTTTTTTTTTTAAAGATTTTATTTATTTGTCAGAGAGAGAGCGAGCATGAACAGGGGGAGCGGCAGAGGGAGAAGCAGGCTCCAGGCTGAGCCGGGAGCCCGACGTGGGGCTCGATCCCAGCACCCTGGGATCATGACCTGAGCTGAAGGCAGACGCTTAACCGACTGAGCCACCCAGGCGCCCCTTTCTTCCAAATTTCTAACTTTGCCAATCTTCTCAGAACTCCCACCTGCTTAGAATGTGGAGGCTGAAAGGGCTGAAGAGCCCGGCAGAGCCTGGCTGATGGGCACCTGTCCCACGAGGGGTGGCCAGCCGTCACACAAGTGAGCCCTGCAGCCAGCTGAGGTCGGTCTGTCCCCGAGGATACTGCTCAGAACGTGCGATGCTGACAGGTGTTGGGCAAAGAACGGGTTTGGTGCAACAAGGTCAGACCCGTTCTTGACCCAGCATCCTGTGCAGACGTCCACTTGCCGACCTGCACGGTGAGCCTCTCGGAGGGGCTGTGATACGCGGGGTTTCCCCAGGACTTTGCCAAGGAGTGCTTCCTGGAGGCGAGGCCGCAGCGCGTGGCAGGAACTGTGCTGGGGGCACCACGGCAGCCTCGCCTGCGTCAGCGGCCCTTCCGAGCCAACGACATGGAGGAGGATAAAAACCTTGAAACACGTGGAGGCGAGTTCGTCAACGGCCCTGAGGCACTATTAGCTGTATCTCAGGACATGACTCTGGTCTCGTCAGACTTTGACAAAAACATCACTTTCCTTCCCATCCACGTCCGACTGTTGTTTTCTAGGTGACGGCAAAACTGACTTTACGGTTTTCTGGTGAAGAAGCTGCAAGTAAAAGCACCTCTCCTCACTCCCACCAAATGCTGAAGAAAATTACAGATGCCTCACGTGATGGACACGCGGAGAAACCCCGAATGAAGCCAACATGAGCAGGAGCTTTAAAAGCACTCGGAGCTCCCGCTGAGGAGGGAAGAATCCAGTGAGGCCCACAGCCGCGGCTTCACTGACCCGGGCTTTACTGCCTAAGGAGTAATCACCACTGCCCCCGACGTCTTCCTCTGAATGTTTCAAATCCATAGTTTTAAAATGGGAAACAGTGTTTGCCGCCAGGGAAGCCGTGCGCTGGACAAACTCCAGAGGCAGTAACGTCATGTGCAAATCCTAGGCCCTCCGAAGGTCATTCACGGGAGGGGTACTGGGAAGGCCGAGGCCACGGGGAACTGAGCAGGGCTGGAGCTGTTTGTGCCTGTAGGGCCCCCCAGGCCGGCGCTCCCGGGGACGGCACGGAGCCGCTGGACAGCTGGCGGCCATGCGGCACAGCGCCAGGCACAGTGCCGGTCACCCTGGAAGCCAGAGCCGAGGCCGTGACGGGAGCGCTCCCTGGGCCTGGCCCATTAGGAATGGGGGCCGCAACGCAGAGCCGGCGCGCTGGCTGCAGGAAGGCGCTGCTCCAGCTCCCCGGGGAAGAGCCCCGGCCAGGGAAACAGCAGGTGGGAAGGCCCAGGGCCCAGACCAAGGGCAGGCAGAGCGGTGCCTGCCTCTGCAAGCGGGTACTCAGGTCCGGCCCGGCGTCGGGCGGGGAGATCAGCCCGGGCTCCAGCGGACGCAGCTGCAGGAGTGGCAGGAAGCACCTGCCGTCGGCTCTGCCCTGGGACGCTGGCGACTTACGGCACCAACGTGTTTGGCAAAGCCTGACATGGCCCAGCCTGACGCTCTCCGTCTCTCATTCAAATTATCAGGAACCTTGGGATTTGGGGAGCTCTGATAAAACGCATTCAGAAAGTGTACTTAAAACAGCTCCAAGGGGTGAAAGAGTTCGTGTGTTGTTCTTTGCAGCCCTGAAAAGACGCTCAATGCCACGGGAAGGCGGCCAGCCTGTCCGAGGCTGGCCCCGGGCTTTGTCCCCCAGCAGCCCCGTGGCCTCCAGCACGTTCCCAGGGTCCCTGGGCGCCTCCTTCCTTGCCCATGTCACAGGGATGCTACGCCGATGGGATGAGCGCTCTGAACCGCGCAGGGAGCGCTGGTGTGACCCGCTGCTGCTTTCCGAGCATGAGCACACACGGGCAACACACTGGCCATCGGGAGGCACCACATGGACTTTACGCCACGGCAACAGCCACACTGGTTTTATCCCCTGGCGTAAGGATGGGGGGAAGAGAAGTTCTAACTCATTCACCTCTAACAGAACACTGGAGGTTTATAATTATAAACTGCACGCAAGCGGCAGTCTCTGACGTACTTTTCCAAGCCGCCGTGTGGGGACCTTCAAAGATGAGATCTCGTTACTACTGACGAGACTGCCTGTGTCCACTCGGGTGTGTCGTGTCCCATCCTGGCACCCTGTGCCTGTGTGTCTGCTGCTGGTCATGTCCCCGGCACGACCCCCCGTGTCCCAGCCTCCCCGATCCCAGCCTGGGATGGGGCCACCACGGCACCCAGGCGCCCCCCAGGGACACACACATTCTCCTGACAAAGCAACAGTAGGATGGTGAGGGGGTCCTGCTCCTGACACCCGGGTTCTTACTCTGAACACCAACTGTGTGTGGAGTTACTCAGACAACATTCTAGCAGCGTCTTTGGAAATGAGAAGTCCTCCCCGAACGAGGCTGCTGAGATATGCACGAGTTGCACCACTTACCCCACCATGAGGAATCCCTGGTACAGAGGGACGGACGCGAAGTAGAAGACAGAAGAAAACACGGCCTTCAAGAGAGGAGAGCTGATTAGTCCCGCACCTGCCCTCCCCGCGGCTCCACCCCGCACCCCGCCCTGGCCGCCGGGCTCCGGTACCTGCATCGTGGAGATGATGAGGCCTCTGTGCATGACGAACTGGCCGAGCGCCGCCGACCTCTTGTAGCTGCTCCGCCCATGCACCATGAGCAGCCGGCCGATGTGCTTGAACTGCGTGATGGAGAAGTCCGCGGCCAGGGAGGCCTGTCTGCCCTCCTGGAACAAGCACAGTGCCTTCTCGAAACAGGGCACATGCAGAGCAGGCGCCTCCAGAAGGGGCTTCTAGAACTCAGCCTCCACCGACTGAAGGTGGAAGCTGTCCCTACAGCCTCGGAGGGGACGGGCTAACAGGGCGCGTCAGGCGGCTGCCGGCCAGGATGGCAGGAGCCTGTCGGTATTACAGAAACGAGGCAGAGAAGCAAACCTGCCTTGAAGACCGCCTTGGGGTCCCGAAACAGTGCCTGGCCGCTTCCCAGAGCCGTGGGGGGTGCGCGAGGCGGGCGAGGAGAGCCCTTTCAAGGCTGTTACCTGATGCCGTCAGGCACCGGGAAGCACAGTGGCTGAGGGGAAGAGTGGAATCAGGCTCATTTCCACACAAGACAAACCCCAACCACAGCTCACGGTTGGCTGGGGACACAGATGTGCAAATGTGAGCGAGAAGGTGGGGGTTCCAGGATGGCAAGAAAGGTGTGCAAGAGGGCTGGCAACACCTGAGCTGAGCCTGGCGGGGCGGGGACTGCAGGGCACTGGTCCCAGGCCTCCTGAAGAACAGCGAGGACGTGGGGACGTGGGGGGTTTGGCAGTGGCAGCCTCCGCGTCCTACCTACACTTCCTTTTTTTTAAAAATTTTTTTTTAAGATTTTTTTTTTTATTTATTTGACAGAGAGATAGAGAGCACAAGTGGAGTGGCAGGCAGAGGGAGAGGGAGAAGCAGGCTCCCCGCCGAGCAGGGAGCCCGACACGGGGCTCGACTCCAGGACCCTGGGACCATGACCTGAGCCGAAGGCAGACGCGTCACGACTGAGCCGCCCAGGCGCCCCCCTTCCTACACTTCCTAAGGGGCTGACGGGGCGGCTGGCTCGCCTGTGACCCGAGTGTGCCGCCCAGGGCCGGCGGGAAGCGCACAGACGACATGGTGACCAGAGGGCACACGTACCTTCCCTTCGATCCCAATGCCGCAGTCTGCCGCCTGGATCATGCTCACGTCGTTTCCTCCGTCACCTGGGGGCCCAGAGATGGGAGAGGACACAGACATCGGGACCCCATCCTGGCCTCTCTTCCAGAGCAGCGGTCCAACCCCCGTCGGAATCCGAGCGCACTCACCGATGGCGCAGGTACGGCCCCCTGCACGCGGCTGCAGCAGCTTCACGATGCGGGCTTTCTGGGTGGGCGAGCAGCGGTAGCAGAGCACGGCCGGGCCCTGGCAGGCCAGCTCCACGAGCTCACGCTCGTAGTACCTGAGGCAGACCTGCGAGACGGGGTCTCTGAGCACCGGCCGCCCGCACGCTCTGCGGGCCGAGGAGCAGAGCGGGCAGAACGCGGCGGGCACGTGCCGCCGGCGTGCTCTTCCCAGCTCACGGCCGCCCCGCCTGGCCGGCGACTCAGGGCCCACAGGCACGCAGAGCAGGCCGGGGTGAGGTGGGAGGGCCGGTGTCCAGGCCCTGCGGAAGGAGCGGGGCGCTTGCACACACAGCTGTGCGTGGGGACGGGCAGCGTGTGGCGGTCAGGGTCCAGGCAGGGCCGGGCAGCCGGGGCCGGGGCGGGGGCGACTCCGCACGTCACCCTGCGCATCACACGGCCCACTGTGGCTCTGCACGCGGCTGGTGGCTGCCGCCCTGCTTGCGCGACCGAGCTGGGGGATCCCACCACAGACAGCTTCCCGCTGGGTCTTGGTCTCTTTTCAGGCGATTTCAGCCCCACCTTGGCTAAGATCTTTAATACAAAATACTCTGTTTCCATCCCAAGCCTCCAACTTGGTTGGCAAAATAAAACCCCCTTAAAGTTGCCTTAGACCATGGGGCCCCCTCATGTGCGGGATATCCCGTCAGAGATCCGGGCTCTGAGGCCCCACGGTGCCAACCACCACCGACAGCACGGACACCTGCAGGGGACCGTGGGCTGTGTGTCCTAGGACGGCTGGTGCGCCGCGCCCGCTCTGGACCGATGCTCCCCAACCCCGCAGGGCCCCTCAGGGGCTGCGGACGCTCCTCCCCGGGACTGGGACCGGGACAGCAGAGGACTGCGTGCCCGGGTGCCTACAGGTCTGCGGCCACCTCCATCTTCTCTTCTCTTGTTCTCTGGTGGCCAACAGCTCGTGGCCACCCCTCCGACCCCCTGGGACCTCACGACCTCGTCCCTGTAGGATGTCCTCGCACCAACTGGATCTTACTTCCTCTGCCTGTGTTCCCTTTGCTCCAGCTTTCGTGTTCACATTATTTTGCCCCGACAGCCCGCACGCACTTCCTGCTCCACGTCTCAACCCTCTTCAGGGCTTGTCAGGATAGGGCACAAAGTTGAGGCCAGGAGGTCAGGACACTGCTCCCAGGCGACAGCGTCGCCCTCAGACACAATCCAAGTCAGTTCAAAAACTTTGTTAATAGGACAGGATAAAACACGGCCCACACCTGCAAGCTCTAGTTCAGACCCATGAAACTGCACACCGTCGGATCAATTACAACAAACTCTTCCGACAGGCAGACCAGCGCGTGTCTTGGTCTCCCACTGCGCCAAGAACCCGCGTCACTAACGGCGGCCCATGAAGACATGCACGTGCGCCGTGTGCAGAGCAGAAGGCCAACGCGTCTCAGCCAACCTCCGGAGTGCAGGGTGCATGGGGGCCACCGTCAGATGGCCACGTGAAGGGCCGAGGGGAGGCTTCATGCGCTTTCCCCTAAAACCTGGGACGGTGAGCTCCGGCCCCCGCCAGCAGGTACTGGGCAGATAAAGAAGCAGGGACAGAGGACCACTGAGATGACAGACCGAAGCCCCGGAAGACCCAGGCACAGAAATGGAAGATGGTGCTTTTGGGGAGCAGGACCGGCAGAGGGAGGGGCAGGCAGGGAGCGTTTCCACCATCGGGTTTTCTGTGTTGACTGATTATGTGTATCTCTGGCGGGGACCAAAGTAGCAAGAAGAGTTCATTAAAAATATATATTCATAAGAGATGGTGCATTTAACACAAGGAGCTACTTCTGCTCCTTCACAAACCACACGGACAGAACTGTAAAGGAGAGTTTTAGAAAGACGTGTGTCTAAGGCGGGCCCGGGGGCAGGAGGAGTGCACGTTTGGGCACTGGGAAGCAGAGGGACACTGCTCCGCGACCCGGCAGCTGGGAAATCCTCTGAGCCAACAGTGGCACAGCTGAGGATCAGGTGAGGCCCAGGAGCCACAGTGCTGGATGCCCCAGGTGGAGGGTCCAGGCGGCGCCAGCCCATGGCCAGGCACACACAGCCACCCGAGGTGAGGCTGCGGCTGCCGCACCTCCTGCCCCAGCACGCAGGGGCTGACCCCTGGGGAGGGCCCGTAGGGGGGCGGGAGGACAGGTGAAGGGAAAGAGGTCAGGGAGTTGGGGCATGGGCTCCGGGGCTCCGGAACCTGGCTCAGCCCCTCCTGCAGGGCCGCAAGCCCGTTTCCTGTGTCCCACGGCCCACTCTTGGAAATCCTGGTTTGGGCACATTTAGGTCAAGATAGTGGGTGCCACAGTCAAGACTCCAAGGGGAGCTGTGCTATTAACAATGAGCATGAGGCCTAGCGCTGAAAAATAGGTTAACCTCGAACATAGTAAGGACACAGTCACCCCTCTGGTATTGCCATGACAGTTCTTCAGGCTATAAAGGCTCATGAGACTTGCATAACCACTACCCGGGTAGTAATAACTGAAGAAGTACATCTGACTCAGAAAACCCTTGGCCCACGGGCGGAAAAAGCAGACAGGTGCTTGGCCGGAGAGCAGCCTCACCCCCAGGGACACAGACGGACAGACAGACAGACAGGTGCTCGGTCGGAGAGCAGCCTCACCCCCAGGGACACAGACGGACAGACAGACAGACAGGTGCTCGGTCGGAGACCAGCCTCACCTCCAGGGAGTCCCCAGATATGACCAGTGCACAATCATGCTTCCTCCGAAAGGCGTTAAGCTCCAAGTGGGCCTCTCCCCGACTGGTTACCTCCACAAAAGGGAGAAAAGCACCCAAATTACAGTGTTATCTAAATCAGAGGTGCAAACAGCCCTTATTTATGAATCACAGTGAAATCTTCAGACGCATTATCCAAAATCAAAAGGTGCTTTACACAGTCCAGTCCTGTAGCAAAGCGCTCTTCCAAATCTCTCTTACGGTGCCAGAAATAAATACCTACTTGCTTAACACCGACTGTTTCCCAATTCGTGACAACTCCAAGCAGGACACAGTTACCGTGAGACAAAGTGCCCTGAGGTGGCTCATCAGGAAATAAGAGGACAGGGGACCCAGGCGCTGAGAGCTGTGCCATGAGGGCGGCATCCAGCTGTCTGCGGGGTATTCCCCTCTGGCACTTTCACAGGGTAGCCGTGTGCTGGGGGGTGACTGTCAGCAGTAGGGACACAGTTCTTTAGACACTTCTGTGCGCCCACCGCCAGAGCCCAGGCTGCCCACGCAGTGGCCGTGGTCTCAAGCCCAGGCTTCAGTTGAACATGCCCCTTTCTGTAAATGCCATGTGACGCAGAATGTTCGTATGAAATGCTTCTGCTCTCTCTGCCACGGGTTTCAACTTTCTCTGTTAGTTCAAGCAAAAAACACTCAAAGGATTAAACAATCTAAAAGTAAAATTCTTGAAATACTGTTAATTTTAGAATGAAAGCATTTCAGAAAGCATCGTACTGGATTCTGACATTCTTTCTGCAGGGATTTTTATGGGGCATACAAGAAATGCTACATTGCAGGACCAAGAAGTTTCACGTGGTCCAAATTAATCTCAGACTCCTCTTTAGATAGGTAGGCTTTACTGTGGAAATTTCAATCTGTGCGGTTGTAAACATTGAAAAGTCAATTGAAAAGTCAACAAAAACTGATCTAAAGTTTTATCAGAATCATTAATAATTTAATTGCAAATAGTCATCTGCAGGGCCTAATTTGCCATTCCGATGCTTTGAAACAAATGACATTTACATGTAAATTATATTCAAATCACTATTTCTGTAGGTCCAAGTGCTTCCTTCAGAGCAGATGCAGATGGACCGTGTCTGCTCACCACCATCAATCAAGACCCGGGAGACTGCATTTTTGTTTGAATTACAAACATTAGTCATAAGTAATACAGTAAAAACAAAAACTTTAGACCATTTTTACTAATTTTCTTTGAGCTAATTAAACAACATTTCACTTGAAAATGATAGATTAAAAACACATTCCTATTAATGGGTGTAGCTACTATAAAAATGTAATTTTTATCAACATACACTTTGTAAATGGAACGGAAAACGGTGGTATGTCTACTCTAAAATAGATACTTGGTTGATAAATAAATCCACTGTACAGCAGAAAAACACTTTTGAAATTAGATCTTGTTTCACTCCATCACAATGTAGCTTTTTCATCCCATGCAATGTGAGCAGCTAACAGAAACCTATCTGCAATGTTTTTATAAATTCAGCAAGAAAATTACAATATTTCTCTTCTTTAGTAATTACTAAATATTTGCACATATATTCTCACAAATCCAACAAGTTTTGATTGTGAGATAAAACATTTAATAGTCAAAGTGCTTTTCGACATATACTCACTGGTCTGAAAACGTGAATGTCTTGTGTTCTAGACACCAAATGTGAGCTTTTGGCGATGCATGTCGCGGTCTCGAGTTTATCGCCCGTTAGCATCCATATCTAGGGGACAAGTGAAGATGGAGAACTCTTAGAAGCATCCATTCCTGAACACACACTTGCACACCCATGTTCACAGCACGACTATTCATACCAGCCAAACCACAGAAGCAACCGAGTGTCCACTGACAGACGGACAGATAAGAGTGCGGCATGCATGCCGTGGAACAGTACTCAGCCTTGAAAAGGGGGGAATATTCTGGCACTGCTGGGACATGGATGGGCCTGGAGGACGCTGAGCTCAGTGCATTGGTAGGAGGGCCGTCGACGAGGCGCACCCACCGAGACAGAAGGCAGATGTGGGTGCAGGGCTGGGGGAGCACAGCGGAGTTAGTGTTTCGTGGGGACAGAGGTTCAGGTTTACACGTTCTGGAGACAGGCGGTGGGGACGGCTGCACAGCAGGGCGAATGTACTTCGTGACGATGAGCTGTGCACTTAAAAATGGTTAAGATGATAAATGCTACATTATGTACATTTTACCACAATAAAGAAAAGTCTCTGTCGACTTATTTAGCTAAACCTTGGAGGAGCAAAATGATGTTAGACGTAGCAGCTGAGATGTGAAGGCACGTGAATGACGGGGGTTTAGGAACCTCAGGCTGAGGCTACGGAGATGCCTGCACACACCCAAAGGGCAGGGCTCACCCGGCCCCGCGAGCCACACGAGCAGCCCGAGGACACCATGGGGTCATGGGCCGCAGAGCGAGGAGCGCCCTAGAGACCCTTAGTCCGACTTGCTAATTTTTCAATTGGAAACTGAGGTTCAAAAAGGGGAAACGGTTAAGCCAAAAGTTGTTTGTATCAAATAAAACATGGCACATACTACTTTTACTTCATGTATCATGTATATAAGCACATCGCTAGACCACAAAGAGAACAAAACCAGACATTTGACATACGACAGGATAGTTCACACGCATATTTCATATAACAGCAAAATACAGTGATCTCTCACTGACACCTGATTTTCTCAGCTGTCTAGTGTATCATACATAAATACGCATTTTTGGACACAGGAAACAAAAACTCATGGCATACTGATTTTTGCTCAGGCTTCATCTGCTTGTGGCTCTTCTCAGTGTTTGAGGACTTGTGCTTTTTATTTCGCACAACTAATATTCACCTTATTGAGCCTGGGCCTCAGGTTATGACACATCGTTAAGACAAACCTGGGAACAATTCACGCTAGACAGCAAGAGAGACCACCCCTGGTGAAGCTGTGAGTGGCTCAGGGGCACGTGTGACCTGCGGAACCGCCACCTGACATCACATCCTCACGCTCCGCGAGGATGGAGGGTCCCTTCTTTAGACGGGAGACGTGAAGGAAGAAGGGCAGGACCCCACACACTTAGGGTTTAGCAATCAATCAATAGAAATACCCAGACCGTGCGCGCCAAGAGCACCCGCGGCTTCAGCACGCGCAGCTGGGGGACGGAGGGACGCAAGTGTATGAACTATCGTGGAAAACGAGCAAGTGCCCTGGCCGCGGCTCTCACACCTCCTCTTCACCCAAGTGCCGGCTGCGCACCATAATCAGCACAGAGCCTGAGTCTGAACTGCTCTTGTGATTCTGAAGCCAGATGCGCCTCCTGCCGGGTTGCTGTCCTGCATGGACGGGGGTCTCCTCTCCCACCCAGACCCCTGCAGGCAAGGGCGCACCCGCTGAGCGCACTCGGCGCCTCCGTCAGAACCCACTGCGTGTGTTTCGGCTGCAGCCCCAGGCAGCTTTCCCTCCGACACCATCCTTCCTTTCTGTCGCTCTAGTCGAGCTATTCACTAGTTTTTCTCTGAAACTCGAGCTGGATTGTTTTCATTCTCCAACACGAGGCCCCAATCCTCAGGGCAGCCTCGGAATAAATTTTCTCTCCCATCTGTAACTGAACTTTGGGCTTTAATGGCACATAAGGTCAGAAAGCAGTTCCCTGAAAGCTAAAACGTACAGCACAATGCTAATTTCCCTGGATGTGAAGGGGACAAACCAGTACGAAAACGGCAGGACAGAAGGCCAGCAGATGGACACTCAGCATCAAGTCACAGGGCCTACAGGGACCCCAGCAACGAGAGCAAAATGAGCCGATACAGCGGAGCTGAGGGACCCTCGCGGTAACATCTGGTTGCAAGCAGAAAGCTCTAGAGCATGAGGGAAGCACATCCCGCGTGAGAGCCAAGGTCTTCCGAGGCCTGGATTGTCCTGAGCTCACACCTGATGGATGCCCAAGGCCACGAAAGTCTCGAGGGACAAAGCTGGGTGGTGGGTGAGTCTGAGACCCTGGTGGGCAGGGATGGGGCAGGGCTGGGGTGGGGCGGGGCAGAGAAAGGCAGGGGGGACTGCTGCTAGTGACAGGATGATTTGGGCATCCTCTGGGGCAAGCGACAGGTGGAGGTCCCAGGCGACTTTCGGGGCGCTGGCCTGGGTGAGGCTGGTCCGGGGGGACATCCCAGGAGGAGGAAGCTGGCCGGCGCTTCCAGGACAGCAGCAGTCCGTCGCGAGGGCCAGCACCGTACCTTGATGCCCGCGTTCCGTAGCATCTCCAGGGTGGGCCTCACATCGGCCTGCAGCTGGTCCTCCACCCCCGTGAGGCACAGCAGCTCCATCTCCCGCTCCAGACTCTCCACCACCGCAGCCACCTTGAGCGCCCTGTCGTGGATGCTCAGCTTGGCCTGACTGTAGCGGCTCTGAGGAGAGACGGGGGGTGCGGGTCACCCCGGGGGACGTGGGGGCACGGAAATCTGCCCCATCACAGACGCCTGTCTGTGCGCGCCGGGGACACACCCCTTTCCCAGCAGACTGCAGTAGACGGCCTGGCACTCCGGGGCAGCCAGGCTGCCCCAGGCTGTGTGCATGTCCACACCAGCAGCTCGCACCCACGTCAACGGGGACGTGTCTGAGGGGTGGATGCCCACGGGGCAGAAGGGGCTGGACAGTCGGCTCACCTCGAAGTCCTGGTACTGCTCTTCTGTCAGCGCCCTCTTGGCGACCACGAGGGTGCGCAGACCTTCCCGGGCCATGTTTCCACACTGGAAAAGGAGATGCAGGTCACATGCGGCCCCTAGGTGCTGACCGCGATGGGGACAGGCACCCGTGGCGCTCGCCGATACTGCGCTGTGGTCAGGGCGCTGCCCCCCCGGGTCCGTCACTGTGCCTGAAGCCAACCACGGTTTCTCAGTGCGTCTCCTCCTGCCGAGGTTTGGCGGAGCATGCGTGGGGCACATGGCTCATCCCGCGGGCATGTCCTGTGATCACAGCCTCGCTGGAAGGATGGCTCGGCTCCCCTAATCTCCACGGGCGGGCGGGCACGGGGCAGCTCTCAGACAACAAGCACACTGCTTTCCCACATTCGACGAGACTTTTCTTTTTTAAAGATTTTATTTATTTATTTGAGACAGAGAGAATGAGAGAGAGAGAGAGAGAGAGCATGAGAGGGGGGAGGGTCAGAGGGAGAAGCAGGCTCCTCGCCGAGCAGGGAGCCTGATGCGGGACTCGATCCAGGGACTCCAGGATCATGACCTGAGCCGAAGGCAGTCGCTCAGCCAACTGAGCCACCCAGGCGCCCTCGACGAGACTTTTCAAAACGGTCTCACGAGCAGGGTCTACACCAGGCTGCACACAGCAGCACGAGACGTGTGGATGCTCGGTGCCGGGGTGGGAGGGGCAAGGTGTGCAAGAGGGAAGGCCTCACGTGGCAGTGCAGTGGGGGGAGGGGAAGACCCCGAGGGTCCTTGGGCTTCGTGCTGGGGTCTGGATCCTATCCTGCAGGGCAAGTGGCCTGTAGCGAGAGGTCTGAGGCCCAGGCGTGCATTAGGAAATAAGACGTGGAAATGCATTCAACAAGTATGTGGAAAGAGATCAACTCCACTCACAGAGAATGCACCAAAATAAGCGTATTTTTCAGCTGTTAGAGGAAAAACTAAGCAGTTTTAGTTGATGAAGGGGGAGAGAAACAGCCTGATTCTAGGCTGCTTACGGGACTGGTGCCAACCTGCCGGCAGGTCATGGGCTGGCGCTCTGCCCCACACGCGCAGAGGAGGCTCGCCCGGGCTCCTCGGCGGCCGGCGGCCACGGGGCCACTCCGGGGACAGGGCCTGGAAGCTCTCCGCTTACACGCACACACTGACGGGGGCCGAGGAGCCTCGCCCGAGGTGGTGCACACAGCGGTACCGTGCCGGCGGAGACAGAGGCACATGCCGGTTCTTCGGAGCCCTGGGCCCCCGGCGCCGCTGCCTTCCGTGACGGTGCGTTCTCTCTCTCGGGCTGCACTGATGGGGCGCTGCCGCACGCGTGAAGCCTGCTGAGGCCCTCACAACGCGTGCTGCGGAAACGTGTGAGCGCCGTCTCTGCGGGCCGGGAGCAGCTCTGCGCGGCGGGCAGCTGTCTCACCCCGGACATAAGCCTCTCCGGGGCACCGCGAGGGCCGGGGAGAAGGACGCATGCAGAGGGCCAAGCGTCCTGGGCTGGTCACCGTCCTCAGACTCCGAGGTGAGCCAAACAGGACTGCGTCCCCGGCGCCCACGTCCCAGAGGGCCCCCAAGTGAAGAGCGGGAAGAAACAGGGAGAGAAAGAGTCCCGGGGAGAAGACACTGAGCGGGGCCCCAAGGGAGGCCCTGGCTGCCCGGCCGGCGGGGACAGACACACACACACACACACAGGAAGTCTGACGGCCCGGTGCTGCCCGGGGTATGCCCAAGCTGAGAACGTCAACAGCAGTATTTCAGGATGATGGTTTTCATGAAAAACAAAGTTTAAAAGAACAACGTGAACGCTAAGCTGTACCATCCTCTGAAGCCACAGTGTCTACACGTTAGCAATACTACCACCAACTAGCCAAGGCTTATCCAGGCTGTGGGCGGCTCCTGAGAGCCGCTTCAGCTCTTTCTTGTTGACTCTTAAGTCTCAGACTCTGAGGAGCTATTTCACATTCGGACTTTAAAGGCCCCAAATGCAGCATGGCAGCCGGTTTTGGCAGATGGTGTGGAGAGCCACGGTGGTCAGTGCGCTCTGGACGTGGGAGTCTTTCGGGGCCGTGGCGGAGGCTCCAGCCTGGACCACAGCCCTGCGATGCAGGTGTTCTGGGCAAGGCTGCTGCCAGGACCCCCCGAGACAGAAGGAGGGTCTTCTGAAGCATTTTTAGCAAACACCAAGGGGCACGGGACTTTACATTAGAGCCAGACAATAGCCAATCAGAATCGGTGGCAAACCTGATGCTGGAGTCACGCGTTTAAGCAAATACATCCCAAACAATCAATGAGCTGCTTTTTTGTTAATGAAAAGGAGATGGAGTGACTAGGAAGCTCGGACATGCAGCGCATCCCCCCGCGTGTGCGGGCGTGGACGGGCAGACGGCCCCTGAGGGAGCCGTGACCTGGAGCGTCCGAGCTGCCACGCACTGAGGATCAGAGGCCTGAGCGGAAATGCCACGCCCCCAGACTGACCGACCGTCCAGACACGACTCTGCCCACCCGGCCACGTGCCCAGACCTCCTCCCCCGCCGTCCCTGGGGGCAAAGGCTGGTGCTTGCACATACCTGCACCTCTCTCGAGGTGGGGTGCTCGGGTCTAACCAAGCTCACATCTACTACACCTGCCTGCAGAATGTTAAAATCTCTGCAAACACAGAGTATAAACTACTCCTTCCTTCTGAAATCCTAACCGTCTGGCTGACAAGGGCTGCAGCACGCAGACCTGCACAGCTCCCATCTCACACACACTCTGGGGACAGCAGAGCGCTAGTCCCTGCACCCCCTCACGCCGTCCCCGATCCCTGATTCTGACCCGCGCCACACACCTGCACGAAGAGCAAGGAGGCCGAGCACCTCTCGCACCTCTCGCGTCCGGGACCTGGTCACCCCACGTCTGTGCACAGTGAGGGTTTTACAGAATTGGCTCTGGGATGTGCTGAGTAAAGTGCTGGTGGCATGTGTTTGTTTTAATTCGTGGAGAATAAAAGTTTATAGCCAAGAATCCAACGTGGGGAGCTTGCTTGAGACAGAGGAGCTCCGTGCACGCTCAGGCTCCCAGAACACGCTGGGTTTTTTGTGTTTGTGTTTGTTTTAAATAAGGTAAAGGCTTTCAGACTAAAGTATTCCAGCAAAGACATGCGTGGAGGATCAAGAGTTTCTAAGGGAAGAAAATGTAACGTTGGGAAAATAAATGCACAAAGGATTTTTAATAAAGTTATCTTTGTGAAAAACAATCTGACATTATCTGTCTGTTGCAAGACATTTATTGATTTGACCTCAAAAAGCTAAATAAATTAAACAAGTATTTTATAATTAATTACACATCATTATGACCAAAAGTAATTTTTATGGCATTTTACTAGGTCTTCAGGGAATTTAATTTATTCATGTGCCTGATTAAATCCAAGTGCCTGAAGGAGCTATTGATTCATATTGCCAATACTGCCGTGGACGTGGGGGTGCGCGCGGCCCCCACCCTGACCGACCGTGCCTGCGCCATGACGGGGTGACCCGTACGTAGGACAGAGGTTCAGTTTTACTCTGAAATCCAACTTTTCTGTTAACACAGAAACAAACAGACAATAAAATGACCTCATGAGGCTAAATATAAATCCTATCTCTTCAGGGAGAATTTGATGAAATGTAGGATTGATCATATTTGTATCTTATTTTCTATTTTTACAGTGAATCCTACACACAAATTAGAAGGACATTAAAATCCTAATTAAAATCTTGCAAATAACAAAGGTTACAAAATAAATATATTACAATATAACGTTGGTTGTATATGTAATATTATTTTAGAATTTTTAGTGAATGATTAGTAATGCTATCTTTTCACTAATATGAACAAAATATAATTAATAAGCACCTACTTATATATCTACACGCAGTCACACAAAAACCAAAAACAGTAGTTGTTTATACAGAAAGTAAGCTATTTGTAATTAAACGGAACTCCTGTCCTTCCTACTGCACGAAGTTGACAGGAACCGGGATCACTTAAAGTAACATGGTGGAGAAGCAATACCGTCTGGTTAAGAGGTGGTGTCGTAGCTCCCCCAGGGACGGCGTGCACCGTGGGCAGGGCGGGGGGCGCAGCTTACCTCCTCCTCCAGCCAGTCGTTGTACTGCACGATGGAGGACATGGCCACGTCGGCCCCTTTCATGTAGAAGGTGATTTCTGCAGTGGACTCGTCCTGGGACAGAAGGAAACACAGGCACATTCAGGCCACGCTGCTGCCGGGAGTAACAGCCGCGTGAACAGAAACCCACCAGGGAACACAGTTCTCCCTGAACCTATCTGCAGTGAGCTACCCAAATAGTCTTCTATGCAGGGCAACGTCTGCCCCTAGATGTTCAGGCAGACAAGCCCAAGAACATAAATGCAGATCCTGAGATGTTGTGCTGAGGTTGTGGAAACAAAGTCCGACTGCAAGGTAAAGGTTAATTCTCTCAAATGTTCATTGCTTCATTGATAAGCTTTCCTTGGTTAGCCAACTTCCAAGATATGTTTCTGGTATTTGCTAAGAAAATTTAATAGAGATGCACGTCAGCAACTTTGTCGTCATAAATCATTCCCCAGCACAGCTCCTTGGCATGCTGCTGCTGTTGGAAACAAAACAGACAGCTTTAGCTGATTCCAAAAATTAATCGCTAACACCTTTTACTTGCTCTGCCTTTGTCGTCTTAGGAGAGTTACCTTAAATCACTACGGCTGGGGCCTCACTAGCTTCTCAGTATAAATTCTTAGTTTAGATCTGATTTCAAAAATAAGCAAGAAGCACAAATCATTTGAACGAGCAGTGAAAGAGAAACACCCCGAGTCTCTAGCATGGTGCGTACAGCGAGCCACGCGCAAGCCCGAGGGAACGCGAGCGGCAAGTCTACCCGGATGATGACCCCCATGCGCTTGCTCTCCGAGGTGAACGGGAACATCTGCAGGATGCAGTAGGTCAGGATCTGGCCGCTGGGGGTCCTCAGCTGCATGGAGGCGAGGTCTCTGCTGACCAGGGTGAGGCCGACACTCTCCGTCCACTGCACCAGGGCCACCTGGGGGAGACCAGCAAGACGTGAGGCCACGCGCTCCGCAGGAAGGGAAGCAACAGGCAAGCGGCGGGACAGCTCGCCCACACCAGCCACTTCCAAGGCCTCCACGAGAGCGCTGCGGGGGCTGTGACCGCGTCGGGCACTTCGTTAACAATGTTAAGGCTAAAGGACCAGCGCTGTGAGAGCCCCTGGTCGCACCTTCTAGCAGAACAGCCATGACTGATTACGCTTCTGGGGCTAGTGTGTTTACGTGCTGCCCAGAGGCCGGCTTCTTTTTTTTTTTTTTTTAAAGATTTTATTTATTTATTTGAGAGAATGAGAGAGAGCACATGAGAGGGGGGAGGGTCAGAGGGAGAAGCAGACCCCCCGTCGAGCAGGGAGCCCGATGCGGGACTCGATCCCGGGACTCCAGGATCATGACCTGAGCGAAGGCAGTCGCTTAACCAACTGAGCCACCCAGGCGCCCCTGGAGGCCGGCTTCTAAGATCTGGAAACGTCGCTGCCAGGGACGCCCAGCCCCGTAAGCGTTTCCGGTGGCCTCGCAATGCCACGTCCCTCGTGTTTTCCTGCTCTTCCTAAAATAAGAGCTGAGCGGGTGACTGAGGACAGCGCACGGGTCACCTGAACGTCTGAGAAGTCGGAGCCCAGCTCCGCCAGCAGCCCCAGCTGCCCCGGGCACGGAACCTTGCTGGCCTCTTCCATCACGGGGAAAACGTAGCGCACGCTGTTCTGGATCTGAAGGACCAAACCTCCCTGGCAGCACGCAAACACGGAAGTACTCTCATTTATGGTTTAGTGTTCACTATTAGGATGTGAGAATCATGAACAGAAGAATAATTTTCAAGGTTAAGTTATGAACAGTATTTTCATGACAGTGTTTTCTGGAAAAACATCAGTTTGCCTTTAAAAGCCATCTCAGGACAAGAGATTCACCAGTTGGCACGAGGTCTGCTGACCCTACGCTCAGCAAAGAGGGCCACATGCGCAGAAGGCAGCACTCATCCTGCCCCCCCCTGCCCGGCTCCCCCTTGGGGGCCAGCGCCGGGCCTCCTGTGACGGTCTCTCCCTGGCTGAGCGCCGCATCCTCACTTGCGATTTTATTCCCTGCCCACGCGTCCAGCACTCCACCCAGGGTTGCAGAAATCAAGTCCTCAGGAGCATCGTGGGTTCTGTCTGGTGAGCAGAACTTTACTGCTGAGCCTCAGCGTCCACCGCCAAGTCATGTGAGGACAGGCTGCAATAAGGCTCGGCAACTCTGGCTTTGAGGCGGGACTGCTCAGGTCACCCCCCATCCCCGTTCCTCATCTGTACGGTGGTGGCGGCCGGGCCACCTCGCAGGACCCCACGCACGTGAAAGTCACCGGGGACGCTCAGCACATCTGGGTCGATATTAGGGTTCTACCCTTCATCCTCTCACAGATGCCATCCGAGATGTCCCCCGCAACGCCATGAAGGCCAGGAATCCCTTTTAAAGTGGGGCTTTCTAGGTAGTTCCCGCAGTTCTAACTACCGGAAGGTTCCAGCACAACCGTCAACTGAGGGTGAGGAGATGCTTGCTGTTTTTAATGCTTCCACCTTAACCCAGTGCCACCCCGTGGAGGCCGGGAGCATCCGAAGATAATAAGGTAGGAAAAATTGAAGCGAAGTATTTCCTAGGACTACAGAGAGGTTTCGTGGGCTGTGGATGTTCTGGAACACAGCTGAGGGCATTGCCATGCATCATTCTGGGCCCTGCTGGCAGGAACAATCGCGGGACACCGGAAATGGCCACGCTCCACGGGGCTGGCTGTAAAGGGATCCCCAACAGACCACTCGGTCTCCTCTACTGGGGTGCCTTTATTTCCCCAGTTGTGAGCATCTCGCAAAGGAACCAAATAGACACGTATGGCTACTGTTCTAGGACAGTAAAGACATATTTATACAGTTTACAATCTCACTTTATTTTATAAATACTCAATGCATCAGAATTCACCTGGCAGAGATTTCTCATCTAAAAAGTTTGCATAGGGAGTAAGCCTGCAGTAAGTGGAATAGCAGGACTGAGAGTGACATTGTAGTATTCATCCTGTATTTTTGATTTCTTCCGAGACAGAGTCAGAGATGCGTTCCTATAAAAAAAGGCATAAAGGGATCAAAGCACCTTGCTCCCCCTGGCTCGTCATCTGAAGCCCAGTGCCATCCTCGAGGGGCAGACCCAAGGAGGCCCATCGTGGACGAGCTGCCCAGCGGTGCTGCGTTCCCTCAGCGCCGGGTGCATGGGGGGAGGCTTCCTACCCCGCTTGTCTGGCCCCACTGCCCACGCCTGGCCCCCCCCCCCCCCCCCCCCGTTGCTGGGCACAAGTCTGCTTGCTGAGGTAGGAACAGCCAAGTACAGTGTGCCAATTTCTGCTCCTCAATTTTCCCTTTAAAGATACAAGTTTCATTTAAGTTAATAAAATCATACTATTAGCTGACCTATAAATTCAAGACAGCAAAATGTTACATATTAGATTGCCAACCAGTGAGATCTAACGGTGTAGAATTCTCATCTTGCCGTGAGCAACGCCATGCAGTCAGCTGGCATCTAGGAGAGCGCCGTTCACACGCGCTGGGCCAGGCCCGCCCACGAGGGCGTCTGCACAGACACCCTGGGTCAGGGGGTGTTGCCACGGTCTCACTGAAGGGAAAATTCTGAAGTTGGGCCTTTCCTGCTGTGTCCACCTTGACCTTTGTGTGCCTGGAGCGGCCTGGACACTACCAGGTGTCCTTACCCAGAACCACTGACCAGAGACAATGTGCTCAAAAGGCTGGAAGACTGAGTTTAAAGAGCTAAGGCAAAACTCGAAACAAGAAAAAGCCCAAAGCCCTGACTCTGTACAATATTTGGGCTGGTCGGACCACGCCTGATGTGCTGGATTTCCTCTGCTGCATTTCGGGAGCCTGCTGTTCTAGGAACACCCAGCATCTTACCTTTATAAATGTGAAGCCCTACTCTCAACGGGTAATTGATGCCTCTCCCTTTTTCTGGGAAATAAAGGAAATGAGCAAATTTTTACTTTTGTCTATTTTAATTAACTGTTTCAGTAAGATCTCTGTTCTCCCTTTCCAGAAGATAAATTAGACAAATAGTAACAACTTGAATGTTTATGTTTGTCAAATACTGTGAGAAACTGCTGTCTAGAAATGTTTTGCTGGAAAACAGTGAAGGACCAAAGCTGCCTCAGATAGGGTCACTCAGTCAGGAGAGCACGCTATGACCCCTCACCTCTGCCGGGGAGTGAATGCAAGGTCAAAACACTCCCCTGCGTAGGGGCAACAGCCTGACTCCGTGGCCTGCTGGGCTTGTGCTTCTGGGGGTGACCTCCGTGCCACGGGAACGAGCCCTGGGAATGGGCGGCCAGCTACACGTGGTTGGCACCATCCCTGTGCTTTATGGAGGGGCGCCGGTCTCGTGGTGTCCCCTTGACCTGCAGGGCTGGAAACGAAGGTCAGCCACGTGCGGGTCACCCGCGTCTACACGAATGACCCCTAGTGAAAACCCTGGACGCCAAGGCTCAGGTGGGCTTCCTGGGTTGGCAGCGCTCCACGCATGGTGTCACATCATTGCTGCAACGAGTGAGTGCTGTCTGCAGGACCCCCGGGGAGGGACCCCGGCCTGGGCACCCCTTCCCCTGGTCCCACTGGTCCTCTTGTGCTCATCGCCGTGAGGTGAGTCTGATGGCTGTGCAGTCCTGCTGGTGAACCCGGGCTGGAAGAAGGTCTTGCGGACCCCCAACTGCGGCGCGCGTCTGACCACGTGCAGAATACGTGTGTACCGAGCACCAGCGCCGCCCCCAGCTGAGCCTCCCCAGGACCAGTGAGCCCGACCAGGTCAGGAGAGGGAACTCCAGGTTGGACAGAGAACGGAAAAGCCGCGTGGAGATGCCCAAGTGTTACTTGGCACTGCCTTGGGGAGAGAGTAGAAGGAAAAAAATCGTCTTTTGACTAGATTCGGGATTTTCCACTGCTTTTTAAAATTAAGTAAAGCCATCTAGAAAGGCAACATCTCTGGTCCTAGAAAGGATCTGCGTGTCTGAATCGGGGTGGCCGAGGCCACAATTGGAGACGGTGAGTTAGACGCAGCAGAACTGAAGGCAGGCAGGTCCTCCCACGGCAGCGAGGACACAGCAGCCTAAGTGTTCACATGTTCTTGGGCCCCCACTCAGCACCAGACGATGGGACAGCCCTGCAGGGGTGGACACACGCCCCGCAGACTGCTGAGCGAAGGGTGGTCTCCGTGGCCCACTGTATTGCCTGGGGTGGGGCATCCGTGGCGGCCTCCCAGGGTGCAGACGCTCCGCAGGCTGGGTGAGCCCCGAATCCAGACCCATGCACCAGGAGTGCTCTCAGGTGGCTCTTTTCTACTCCTCCCACGGGCCACCCCCCAGGCTCCACGCTGGGTGGTTTGTTTGCAGCAACAGTAACACGTGGGGGTTGTCTTGCTCCTGAGCTGAGCGGCTGGGTCACATGTGAGTCTAGCATCCCGTAGGCGAGCGGACTGTTGAACAGTGAGTCACTGTGCGGCTCAGATTAGAGCTCGCCATCTCTGGCTTTCCAGCGTGTTACCTGAGCTCCTCAAGTTTGCCCAGATCCTAAAACCACGTATGGCTAATACAGCGCTATAATCGGGAGCACCAGCGATATGCTCTAAGTTACAGTACTACAAAAAGACACGTGGCCATCAACAGAAAGAGCACATCCAAAAGGGGCAAGCGAACAATTCTGCAACTCACTTCAGGTGGAAAAGGAAATGCACACCGGACACGTTTCCTATAAAACCTCGCTATAAAGTGCCAACGACCCAGGACTCCCCAGGTGAAATGCTGAACGTCCACTGTGAAAGCGGGACTATTACACTCCGACAGTAAACTGCATGCTTCTGCGGACGCCCCGTCACCTCCTCCGCGCCCCACCAGGCGGGTTCAGCAGTCTACACTTGTGGACTCACATCTGTTTGCTACGTACTTCACGACCCGTTCCAAGCA